GCAACACCAGACGAAGCTCACAAATCAGCCGGCTTTGTTTCAGGTTTGTCGCACTGGAGGCTGATGAATGAATATGAAACCCAGCTCAAAACTGCTCAATCAAGCACAAATAACAGGATCACGAGTAGGTAATGGTCCATTGCGATAAAAGGCCTGGTCTACATACTGAACAATTAACCAACAGAACTGTAGCTAGACAGAAATTCAGATAAATAATTCTCTGCCAAAGCTATTCTTCGCAAACTACAATAAAAAGTTAAGTCATAATCTATACCAATTTATAACTATATAAAAAAGATTTTAAATAAGGGATTTCTTTTACCAAAACAGATACATACCAAATAGGTACTTATTGGCCAAAAAAATACTCTATCCCCTTTATCATCCTAAATAGGCACGCCATAACAGCCTCTGACACCGAGATCATAGCAAACATGCACCGAGTTAAGTCATGTATATGAAAACCAAGATTGGATGCACCAGTATTAGGGTAATTTAAGATGGTCTTAAATTAATATGAGATTAAGTATGGTCTTCCCGGTAAAAAAAAAATCATTACCATGGGACTCGTATTTATCATTTGAAAAATACCGCAGAGGTAAACTTATTTTGTCCAGTTATAAATGTTAGCATCTGAAAACAGGCAAACAATAGTGCCATGATACTTATTTACAATCCACTTGTTAAAAAAAGAAGGGTGGAAAAAGATTATAAAAAAAAAAAAAACAGACACACACACTGATTGTCACTGAAGTGCTTGTATGAACAGAAATTAAAATGTTTCATATTGAACGATCCAAAATGAATTGGGGTTGGGGGGGGGTAGGGCAAGAAGAGAGAAATCAATTGTGCAGCGGCTGCAGAGACGGAAGACAGGCATGAATAGACTTTGCCAGTGGGGTGCAGCAGCTGCCAAATAAAGTACGGGGAAAAAATAGAATTACAATAATACTGATGAAGTGTGCAGAGCCCTCAGCCAATCAGAGCAGGGGAGCCCAGGCACAAATGCAACAATGACATATTGAGGCTCGTCAAGAACAAAACCAGATCAAAGGCAACAGAATCTCTTATCGAGTTTTGGGAGGGGGGGGGGAGACAGTTTCACATCTACAGCATCATAAACATGGATGAAACCAAACAAACCTTGCAAGTAATACACCACGCGGCAGCCACACAAGTGCTGCGTTGACGGTGACAGACTTGGGACAGCTGTTTCGTGCGTAACCAGCTCAAATGCTAGCTAATGCTCCTCTAAACATGAAATTATATGCTGCCCTGGTTCACTTACTGCAACCAGCCTTCGCCGTATCCAACGCAGCAGCACTAAAAGGGCTATAAAATAAATAAATAGGCGCTTAAAACACAGGAATGAGAGGTACAAGCCCATCACCTATTTTTATGCTGCATTTAATTTACATTTTATTTCCCTGCCGATAAAAGCAGACAGGTAACACAAGGACGGTGACACAGAGACATCTTCTGGGCACCAAAGGTCAGCTTTTAACCTGTCAAAAGCAGAGTACTTATTAGAATAAATCAACAGACCCACTAAAGGTCAACAGTGGCCCCTGGTTTGGGCTGACCCACTGCTGGTCTTCCAGGGGCAGAGGGCTTAATGCCCCCCCCCCGCCCCCGCCCCCCAAGACAGAGGGCCTACTGTACACGGCACAGAGATGTGCTCCGCAGGTATACATGGAGAAGATATATGCTGGTCTCCAGGGAAGTAGGAACTGGGAGAGAATGGGGTGACATGTACTCCTCAATGTTTAATTTGGCTTCATTTGCCATACCCCTGCCCGTCCCCTGAAAATAAAAAAGTATCTGTTTGCTTTTAAAATTATTAAGTTGTGACCCTCAATATCAACCAGTCTCCAATGCCCTTGCTGGTCCCTGATAATTCCAGAAAATCTTTCCTAGAAAGCAAGGTTGGCTAAAATATTTTATTTGCAAAGTCGGAACTTAATCCATTTTTTTGGACGCGACTTTATGTACACATTCAAAAAGCATGTGTGCCTTTCCAGTGGGTCTGGAGATTTGTACTTGTTAGGAAGCAAACATGGCGATATATAAATCTTACAAAAAAAAAGCTCTGTGTGAAACTTTTCTCTTAAATGTGCCGTTACAAGATAATCATACAAAAGAACCATTTTACTGAAAGTAATGTGCATGGTTCTTCTGTAATGTTTGGGGAGTATTCTCTGTATTGGATGTAAATCATTTTCAGAAAAATATTATGATCTGGAATGGGGACACAGGGCAGCACCTCTTCACCCATTCAAAAGAAAGATGAAAGCCTCATTCCACAGAGATCAGAGGAAAATACTCAGCCCTGCCAACACAAGCACTGCCGAATGCCATCGAGCCTCGCAGCATCGCAGCATTACTGCGCCCATGAGATACGCATTAGAGCCACACCTGAAGGCTATCCGCCCACCACCCACTGCCCCACCCACCATCCAGGCCCAATCCTGCGCACCTTTCAATAAAAACAACTCTCGTGCCAAGCTGTGGTACACACGTGTAAGCGTGTCGGCGCTTGGTGATCCGACGCCCGGAATGGTGGCATGCGGGGTCGCAATACGCCGGCGTGCACGCCTCTGAAATGCGCACGGGGTGTGGGTGTCAATCTTTGCCCTTGCGTCACAAAGTAAATAGGGGAAAGTTAAACAAATGAGAGCTGGGAGTTAACAATGAGCACCTCATCAATCACTCAAAGCCATTTCCTGCAGGAAATGTGCGTGTCCCATTATCGGCATACGGGACTTAAATACCCACTCTTGCCGATGACCCCTGGTGACCCCAGGGGGCCGGTAGCACTGGATGAAGAGCCGCCAGCTTTGCAGACCTTTGAAACTAAGGGAAACCACTGATGGGTCACTGTCAGGTTCAGATAGGAGGCCTCGCACGGGGGTGTTTCTGCCCCTGTATTAAGGCCCCTACTGTCCTACCCCGTTCTTCACAACAGGAAACAGAAGCAGACCAATTGCAGGGAGTGTCCGGCAACGGACGCACATAACTGTACTGTCTTCTGAAAAATACCAGGAGCAGGACGGTGTTACTCTAATCACATTTTGTAGCGGTCTTTTCCTGATGCAGCTTCCACAAATGCTGGAAGAAGGTTAAAAAGAAATCCTTCACAATCGATAGGTGCTGACTTTGATGTCTTCATGCTGGAGAGTCAAGGCGATTAATGGGTTTCCAGGGAAATGAATAAGTTTGCCTGCATTTTCCAAATATAGACTGGAAGGTTAGGCAGGTTATCTGAGGTTAAAGGCATTAACACCCATAATTAATTTGACTTGCCAAGGATTCGCAAGGAACTTATATTTCGTTAAATAATACAAAGGTCCTGATGTCAGCCAAAAGCTATTGCTCCTAGCGCTGCCTTTGACAGTCCATCACAAGATACATGGACACTACGGGCGACGGAGAGGCACCAGCTCAACTAACTTATTGCATTTGGGGCACAGAAGAGTCACGGCGCCTCGAGGAAAGCTGCACCAATAGGAGGTAGAACATGTAAACGTCACACGTAAATCCGGGGGTGGGACCCGACCACCATCGCAGGAGGTGTGAGGCTATCGTGCCAACCAGCGAACTACGATGCCATATGTATCTCAGCAGCAAAAACAAAATCGCAAGCTGCAAGAAAAATACCTGACTGTAAGCTGTACTGGATATCTTACTCCAAAAGGAATACAAGTATAACATTTTCTATATCTGACAAAGCAAAATATAATACAGAGAAGTACAGTATTTTGAAATGTAAAAGAAACACACACACAGACAGTCCATGTATTTATATCTTTGTGGGGAATTTCCATTCATGTCTATGGACATAAACCTAATCCCAACAATGACACACACGAGCACAAACACACAGAAGAGCACATAGACACACACATACAAGCACACACACATAAATACACACACACACACACACACACACACGCATACGAGCACACACACACACATACACAAGCACACACACACATACAAGCACACACGCACACACACACACACGCGAGCACACACACGCGAGCACACACACGCGAGCACACACACGCGAGCACATACACGCGAGCACACCAAACCTATCAAGTCTGCTTTTTATACATAATATAACACTATAACTTTGATATTGGTGGCAACATTTATATTCATGCAGTTTCACACCCAAAAAAAAGAATGTTCAAATGCTGTGTGAATTATCCTTAAATTCAAGAATTAAATTAAATTCCTAGACAAGGTACAGCCGTTTTCAGTAACTAAGGGTGCCATGTAAGGGTCAACTCAGCTTTCGCTCAAGTAGCTTACTGGGTTTTTGTGTCATCTGTGAATGTAGTAAAAAACGAAAAAAAATATTGTAACGCTTTACATTAACTGCACATTCATAATGCCTTTATAATGCATGCAAAGAACATTCAGTGCCAGTTTATAATGCATTCATAATGCATTCTTAAGCAGTATGTAAGTATACCGCAAGATCTTAACATACCTGAACAACTTTAATGTACATTCTATAATGTTTGTTATTAATGTATACTGAACCTGTTAAGGTATGTTAGGATGTTATGGTATACTTGATGCTTATGAATGTTCTATGAATGCATTATGAAGGTGCACTGAATGATCTATGAATGTTCTATGAATGCATTATGAAGGTGCACGTCATGTAAAGCGTAGTCGAAGAAACTATGTTAAACGTGATGCATTTTGATTACAATGTCCGTCAGAATCTGCCACGTTGTGACCCCTGTCTAATACAAAACAGATAAGCTAACTGACGACAAAGAACAAGGGACTGTGAAAATGGAGAAGGTGAATAGCACCTGAGCATATGGTTGCCGAACTTCAGTCGCAACACCCACGCTCCACACTTAAACTCAAAGTTAATTGGAAGACTGCTTCAGTTACTGCAGGATTGACGACACGTGGGGAGGGGGGGGGGGGGGGGGTCGAACATCTGTGCGGGCCAGCGTCGGTCTTGGTTCACTTACCTGAGGTTCCCGAGGAATCTCTGGGAGCGAATCTGTGCCACCACAAAGACAGAAGCAGCAGTGGCAACCAGCTCCCTCCTCTCAGAATCTGACAGCTGGTGACCTGGAGGTCCGAGGGTACAGAAAAAGACAAAAAAAAACACCCAAAAAAATAAAAAATAAACCGAAGAGTGATGGCAGAAAAGTACAGCTTGAGAAGAGTCATATAACTCAAACAATACAGCAGTGCCCAAAAAACAGCAGCCAGATGCTGATAAAAGGTTTCTAACCATGAGTTACCGTGCACAATGACGGTGTGCAGCGACACTATCCAAAGTGAAAATGGCACATTTAGTTCAATGAACTCAAGTAGATCCCTACAGAGAGGGAAAAGACATAAATTTGTTTTAAGAGAATCTTAAGACGTCGCCTATTATTGTACATGTAATTTGGTTAAATTATTTCAGGATTATATTGTTCAATACGGATGACGGATGTTACCATTTAATTGCCAAAGAATTCTATCACATATCTCTTACTGTTATTGTAAGTCTTAAGATCACAGTTAAATAAGGTCACAAAAAAATAAATCACAAGATGCAAGTATGCACTCACAATTGAAACGATTAAATTAAAATGATTCAGTGAGGCTGTTCAACACCCGTACTGCGCACAGGAACAAACCAATTGGTTACAATTTAAGAAACAGTAAATCAACCTGAGTGTTTGCGTGAGACAATGGCCCACCTTTGAAGCCTTCCGGGTACACCTCTTGGAGGAACTTTGTGCTGATGTCTCCAGAGATGAAGCGGGGGTGTGTGATCACCTCTCGCAGCAGCGGAATATTGTGTGTCACTCCTGAGGATGGAATCCCTGAGATTTAGTCACTCCGACAAGTCACTAAGCCCCTTTGGTCACAGGACGCGCAAAAAGCCATCGGCTGAAGTCTCCAAAATATTGACTGAGAGATAAATATTGTAAGACAAAAAAAAATAATACATACACAAACAAAAGTAAATGCTACTACATTGGTAATAACAGCTTAAGGGGAAAAGTCAATGGTACAAGTACAGAGGAGATTTAAGATTTGAAGAGTAGTTACTGAGGTATTGAGTGCTACTCTTTTGTCTCAAGACCATGAGTGAGAGCCCCCCCCCCCCCCCCACCATGCACACACTTATTCAGGGTGGCCACTGCTCCCCCTACTGGTGGCCTAATGCCCCCCCTCGGTCCCTCAGTTCTATTTCACCACATTCTATGCCACGGTTCCCCAGCATTCAGTTCCCTGCATGGCCCATTCCAAACAAATCTGAATAAATCAGTTAAGTGCTGAAGAGGGCTTCCCTGCAACAGCAGCAACGAGAGCAACAGTATCAAACAATGTCAACACTGGAGGCCTGAAAGCCCTGAATCATCTCCCCCCCACCCCCTGCCCCCAGCCAGCGATATGCATACAGGCCTAGCTGCTGAAGCTCCCCCCCCCCAGCCAACTGTGTGGCCCAGGCAGATCGACACATGGAATCGGGTCCAACCTGAGTGACAGGCGACAATGCCCTGCCCCCCCCCAATCTCGCACCACCACTTCAATGGCAGACTTTGACGGTATGATTAAAACAAGACCAGCCATCCCCCGGCCACCTGGAGTCCAGGGTTTTGCTTGGGTCACTGGGACCCTTTTGAGTGCCCCTCGACCGCCTAATAACCATTCACGGCAGACCATCCCCCACTAACCACCCTTCCTAAATGCAGCGTCTGAGACAGAGCCCCCTGTCCTAGACTCTTTATGTCACCAAATGCATTGTGCTGGACTAAAACTCCATTGTGACACGCATCTCGGAACAAACAGAGAGGGTGAAAATCCATTTTTCATAAATAAAAAATTCATGGGTATCTCGTGCATTAAGTGAAATCTCTCTCTCCCCCTCTCTCTCTGTTCGTGTGCTGCTGGCTGGGATCGGCAGGCGTGTGGCCCGATAAGCATGACGTGGAGAAAGCAGATAGCCCCGCGTCCCTCACTGCACCCCCTGGATCCCTGGCGAGATGATGGTCGATGGCAGATGTGGGGGATTTCGCTGAAGCAACTGATTAGCCGAACAGCCCTTATATCAAACACTACCAGAAGTATCCTAATTCTCAACTCACCAGCTACTCTATTATTATGCTCCTTGAACGATCATCGAAAAACGGAAGAACACTACATGGGAAACTCTGTAAAACTCATCCTAAACAAATCTACTAACTGAAGATGTTTGATGGTACAATGCTATGTGCATTTACAGTATTCATGTAGCTATTTAACAGTTACATTAATGCTACTTACATGTACAAGATTTATGTAGCTATTTAACCATAACGTCAATGCTACAATGCTACTTACATGTACAATATTCATGTAGCTACTTAAGCATTACATTAATGTTACAACGCTACTTACATGTACAATATTCATGTAGCAATTTAAGCATTACATCAGTAGTTAATCAGAGCAACAGAGCACCATAATCTGGCGAGCACGGATGTTCAAAAATTTTTTAATCGTGTATTTAAATGTAAATGTAACTCAACTCTCATTTAACATGCGGTATATTGCAATGATTGCATTTCATCAAAACCAGCCAAACTGCAGTCTGATTTGCGTCTAAAACAGTACGCAAAGCTTCAAAAAAAATGGCTGCTCAGATTTGCCTAGGAAGTACTGGACATTTGCCAAAATGTTTACTAAAAGCAATTTATTCCTCACAGCCAGGCCTCTTAGCTTAAAAATGGGGGGGGGGGGCATTCTTACATGAGAATAAAAAGCAGATCATGAAATTCTGATTCATTGAAGGGAAAAAAAAATAATAATGAACTGGTCCAAATCTCAACAGATACTACAGATTTGCAAGTGACATTTTTCCATCTGGAATGTTCTGTTTCAAAACCCCCAGCCAAAAAGACGAATCTGAAAATATGTAATTTAAAAATGACCTCAGTCAAAGGTCAGGAGGTCTCCATCTGTGTGTGAGCAACAGAGAGACCAAAGAATGATGACCCTCCGACAGCCTGCCTGGGACTGCCTGCTGTTTGAAAAATACTGACCAGACATTGAGCCCTGCACATTCAAAAGGATGGAACAGAGAGAATAAATAGTGCTCATTTCATAAAAATGGGAAATTAGAAAAGAAAAAGAAAAGAGACCATGTTCATCGATAGAAGGCGGGAATTCAAAATAAAGGAAAACTACACTTTCACCTCAATAACATTTTTCATTACAATAATACACAAAAACTCAATAATAGAATTTGATTAATCTATTTTACTATTCTCATGCCAAAAGCAATTCTAACACAAGGGATTTTAAAGGGAAAGCCATTTTTTATCATCACAAAAATTCAAGTTAAAAAGTAAATTTTAAATTTTTAAATTATAGAAATGGAAGAAATATGTCCGTTGCTTCATAAACTGCTGATCACACTGGTCTAAAATGAGCAACAGGTATTTTATCTTACGTAAGGAGGACTTTTCAGTCCTGTTGCAAAAGTAATGCAGGAGGGAAACCAGTTTTTCCCTAAATTCTTAAATCAAGGCAATGGAGCTCACGCAAAAAAAAGTTGGTCCTTGCAGTTGCATCACAAAGGGGGGAGGAGGAGGCGTGGGGAGCATGCAAAGGTGGCGGGGGCTGATCCGCGCGTGCGCACTTACGGCTCTGCCTTTCGCAAGGTTATATCACCGAAAGGGGTGAAGCAGGGCAACAGATTTCTACACATGGCAGCAGTGGACAGGGAGCAGTGGACAGGGAGCAGTGGACAGGGAGCAGTGGACAGGGAGCAACCAAAGCACGCACTACCACAGCGAAAGAAAGGGGGAAAGAGGGCATCAAGGAGTAAAGACAGGAAAGAGATCAGGATGCAGCTAAAAAAATAAAATAATAATAGTTATAATAATAACACTAAGGATACTATTACTACTACTACTACTAGTAATAATAATAATACTAAATAAGGTGGCACATTCTTAAAAAGATAACTTTAAAAAAAAATCAAGTTCCCTTAAATGTCTGTGGAAGCCTTCGATTAGGTACTACACCACTGTAACAGTATAGACAACAGATGCTGCAGTATCTGTTCAATTGTGTAAAAGGGCCATTGTGTGTGTGAAATGCCCACAATGGATTCTCTAGGACCACGGCTTTTTTTGCACTCAGTTATTTTTAAAAGTACTTGACCTGGGTGATACACAGCGGCTGGGGACTGGGATACATACACATCTATGTAATGAATGGATTCTTATATATTAAGCAGTAAAAGTAACATTTAAATCCAGAGCCCCATCAAATTTATAATACGATGCTGCAAATGAAATTGCATGCAGCATATACATGTAAATCTATATGCTTTTAGGCATGATTTCAGAAAGCCTTTCCAAAAAATTGTACACACAAGAGTTACACTGCTGGCTCCCAAAGCTGATGCAATACAAACATGAAGGAAACAATATGTAAAAGATGTAATCAATGTGCAACAGAGTACACTACATAAAAAAAGTAAAGATATATATTAAATCATACACTCAACATATATATTGGCAGAATAAGCGCACCCAATTCATTGCAATAATTCATACTGTCCCCAGCTGAAGTCAAAGGCCCATCGTCCTGATTAAATGCCAATATTTTTTACCATATCAAACGCTGATAAATACCCTGTGACTGCAGCCAATTATGTTGTTACATTTTTTGCTTGCTTAACAGATACCTTCACTATGGCGGAGCTGTAAAGCGTAGTCAAAAGTCTAGCCCTCAACGGTCTCATGTTTTCCACTTTCAAGCAAATCACAATAGCATATAGAAATAGGTGAAGCAGTGTGCAAATTCTTCATTACTTCAAGCCAAACACATACATTACACAGTACCATTATTCTAATAATACTCATACAAACTATGGGTGCAATTTAAACTATGACCAGTAAAATATTAAACGACTTCTATTCATTTATATTTTCCCTGCCTGTTCTTTCCTTCCCTTCTCCAAGCTCCCGATATATAATTACTAACAGAGTGCGGTCAGACAAAATTAGGTCTGGCGTTTAATAAATATTAAACTTTTGTAATCACCACAGAGTTTTGAATTCCCTGAGCTGACACCCACTTAACGTTGCTAATTGCTTCACTTTCACACTTCATCACTGGTTCAGCGCTTCCAACTCCTATTTACACAAACACCTCCGTCATGTCACTGGCCTTTAACAACCATTTCACACACATCTTGTACCGGAAGAGTGAACATGTCACCGGTAACAAGGTACAGGGCTAACATGGAACACACGTGCCCAAGGATGCCGCATCGACACTTATCGATAGCGCTAACACTATAACGAAGCCACAGTCACGCTTGTAAAATTTTAACATTCGCCGCAATTACAGATCTTTAAGTGACCTTCTATAAAATCTACCACAGAATTCTTTCAGTTCTTATACAATTATCCCATTTTCTTTTACGCCACTGAGATAAAGAAAAATCTTCGTAAGCATCTTGAATTTAGTACACCAGGATAGCTCTGATGGGGACTAGCTAACAACATAGGCTTAAACTCATTTCAGTGACCCCCCCCCCCTGGCCCCCACCCCCGCCTCCTCCCGGTGTCCCACTGCTATGCTCCTCAGCATTATTAATTCAGGCTTTTGTCCCACCTGCTGGACGTGCGGGATGTGTGAGAATGACCTTTCCTCCTGGCCAGGAGTGGCGCTGACAGGGGCACCTGCTGCAGCCACACCGTCCTGCCGCCCATGTCATTTACTCTTTGTGTCGGACTGGGAAAGCGCTCCACGTACATATGCTCTCATTATTTCTCACCCGTTAGAAGCCACCACTTCAGTAATATGGCATCTGAAGATATGTAGATGATTCCCCCCCCCCCAAATCCAAAAAAATATCTAAGCTATTTCCTGAGATATACAAACAACTCGACAATTCAAACACACACAGGTGGAAGATGAACAATTTCATGAATGACCTGAATCGGCAAAAAAAGAAATAAGATTAAATTAAAAAGTTACCACTGATAGCTAAAATGCTACTCAAGTCAATTGCAAAACCTACAATGAAATAAATAGCAACACTAGACAGAAAAAAGATGGAAGATACAAGCTAACAGATGTCACTTCCTGGGCCCTGGAGCACGAGGCCAACACTCTCTGGCCAAGGATTAACAGAAAAAAGGCTCCTTCTAAATTAAATACTTTCTAGCTAATTAATGCCAGCCTTTTCTGTGTTTTAATTTCAAGTTAATAAGCAAAATCATATTCAATTTGTTAATTATAACCCGTTCCAGCTGTTTCCCTTTAATTTGCGCCAGCCTACCACACCAGGATCTGTACTGCTCACCTTGTATGACATAACTGTCAAGAGCCTCCACCATTCTCTGTAGTGCTTCAGCGCGGGTGGAGCCATATGTAACCAACTGCAGACGGGGAGAGAACCACCAAAGATTCAAATTACACTTACAGTGACACTGTGCCGCTGAGATTTCTTCCTTGTTTTTTTTCCCCCCACTTCTACTGGTGACACATTGTAGCAATCTTGGAATATTACAAGGACTGACTAACCACATTTTAACACACCGTTCAGGGTTAAAAACAAAAACAAAAAAAAAATGGCATTAGGACATATTAAGACGCGCCCTCATAGTCTCACTTCTGTCGCTAAATGCATTTTCTCCAGGTGCAGCACAGTGATATGGTTTCAGCATGCGTATATGCAAGTCTAAACTCCCCCACTCACCATTAAACTGCATGCAGGTGGTTCAAAGCAGGAACATATTGTTGCCAGTGATTGAATTTACATTGAACAAAAGATACCTCCTGTACTGGTGAATCCCAGCAGTCTGCTCTCCAGAGACTAATTATCAAACACATTAGTACAGCTTCACTCTAGCCATGACAAAAATGTTCACCGTTCTTGATATAGCACCTTTGCTTCAAACATAAATATCAATATTAAAGGTTTATTTTAATCTGATTTTTATTAAATAGAGTGTCATGGTATAATTACATGACTTGGCTGAAGTTTAAAAAAGAATAACAAGATAGATCTTCATGTTTTTGTTTTTATATCTGAATTAATAGTGGCATTGCTACCATCCATATGCAATCAAAGATTTTATACAGAACCTGAATATTTGAAAAAGACACCCAAATAATATCAGAATTCACACACAATAAACATAAATGCTTAGAGCAAAATTTTGATTACTAACTTTGGAGATCATTGGGTCATAGTAAATGCTGATGTCACTCCCTTCCTGAATCCCACTGTCAACACGGACCTGTAAGGCAACAGTGCATTATATTATAAATTGAAAATGAACAAACAAATCCATATATTTAAACAAACCATCTAACACAAGGATACATGGATTCATATTCAGTACAAGCTGAAATTTATAGAGCGTTTAACAGATATTCCTTAAAAAGTGATCTTTCAAACAAGTTTAAACAAAAAAAAAATTAAAAAAAAAACACTGGACAGACACACAAAAGAATAATCCGCTATTTTCCGTTAGAGTGTAATGGGAACAAACATCACAGCAGTGTTTGCTTTCACTGCCTCAGAAACAGCAATTTAGAATTAACTAAACAATTGTACGAGGCAGCTCTTGAAAGTATTTGAATGTCACTTACACCACAGTTGAGGAGAAAGAAAAAGAGAGCAATCATTTATCACACAATTTAATAGTAAGTGTCTGCTTTTGAAAATCTGTTCCACTTGCTTTCCATCAAACCATGTCACAGAAATCCAAGGTAATACGTAATGTTAATACAAATATTAAGTTTATTCAGAGGACTATATTCCAAAAACAAATCATCTAGCAACCAAAAATAAAATATTGTCATCAAGTCAATTGAGAAAATTGAATTGTTATTATTCAAATCTCAACCTTAACTCCAAAAAACAAAATGAATATTTTATAGTTTTCAAAAAAGGTACTTAAAGTCCCAGAGGGGGGAACTGTGAAGGTAAGAAAACATTTAGCATAAGCTGATCAGTAGAAGACTCAAGAGCAAACGTGCAAAATTGCTTGACGTCGTGAAGGATGAGCGATAAAATGGCCGATCCTAAAGAAATGACTGCTGTCCCTCAGAAAAGTCCACAGGAAGCCTAACCCAAAATAATCTGGAATTCTGTACACAGAACCCAACATTGGACTTTGGCATAAATACATTTTTAGACTGCACGTTTTCATAAATGAAAACTGACAAGGGACCCTAATTCCGAAAATTCAATTTTTGCATGTAGGTGGAAATATACAGCTATGAACACTTCTCAGTATTTTATAAGTGCGTTAAACGATAACCTGGAACTTAAAGAAAACCCAGAATTGCAGAGATACTGTTTTTCTTCAGGAAGCATAAATGTATATTTCTAAATATAACGATGCATTTTACAGAGACGCGTAAAAAGCTTTCTAAAAATGATACAGTAAACATGCGGGACGTTTGCTTTTCTTTCCCCGATTCAAAGATCATGAGCGATGCATAAACGCAGAGCTGCATCCTGGGGGGGGGGCTGGGGGGGGACACTCCGCAGCCCAGTAGCCTTGCCTCTCGAGCACATCTGAGGTAGAGGCTTCCAAGGGACTCCTGCCTGCCCTCACCTGATCTGTCAGAGCTACAGCGGTCCACGCCCACCGCATAGCCCTCAGACATCGCTGAGCTCGCTTCATCGAGTAGGATGCATGCCAACCATTTTTTTTTTTGACACATTCCCTTTCCACCTTAAAAAAAGCTGAATTTCTATGGACAAAGCGTGTCTACAGAGAGTGCATGGGCCCAATAACATCCAGCCACCCCGTACTACGGATACGAATCGTGTCAAAACTTAAATCCACAGACAGCCTGGGAGGTTATATGTAATACCATCCTTTAATTTCTAGTACCTCGAAGCAATATATTCTGGTCAAACCAAATTTAGTTCTAAGAAAAGATACTTTGGGGTGCAAAATTAAACACTCTCCCCAGTTATAGACAGGGGCTGCTCTCACTGTTCATTTAGAGCTCGTCTCTACCCCCATCGGGCCGCCTCTGTACACCTGACAAGCGAAACCCCAATTTGATTAAACGCCCATGAGGGAGGGGACGGGTGGGCCCCTTGACAGGCCAAAAGTGATCACCATGGAGATACACAAGTACAGCTGTTAATGCTTCAACTGTCCCGCTGGCTTCAATTTCATTGCTACAAGCAATCATGATAGACAAAGCGAAGCACGTGCTTTCCTGGACTCAGTCACATTACCCTTATTCAGTGCATTTAGCAGAGATGCCACAACCACCAGCAAATCTGAGCTTTTTTCTTTTTTTCTGTTTACGACCCACCTGCTCACGTGGTCATCTTGCGAGCGCAAGTGTTATTACATAAAACTCCTGCTGTAGCATTAATTGAAGAAAGATTCGGTGGGAGAAAGACCGTAGGGGGTAGAGCATGTCCATTATCACTTGTGCTTTCAACAGGTTTCACGTTGGAAAACTGCAAATTGCAAAAACTTGCAAGGGCAAAATGTTTGACATTATTTGATCCGCAACCATATGGTGAAAACTTTCATGAGAAGAGGTACAAGGTGAAAATATATAAATAAAATGCATATATATATATATATATATATTTATATTTATAAATACATGAGAAGTAGGGGAAGGGGGAAAAAAAACAAATCAAGGAAATAATTATTCAAATGATGTAATTAATAGGGGGTTTACTTCAGTGGGGGTGTGGGGCCGTCACTGGCCCCCGCTCATACTTAATTTGCTGTTCCTTCTTTGCAGTGTCCTTGCTTTCTATGCCACAAATGACACTGACAACAGTCACATTAAAGATGTTAAACAGCATCTTCGTGAACCGGGGGTGTCGGGAATGGGGGATGGGGGGGGGGGTGTGCGAGTTCACATTGAGAATATCTGTATTCATTTTTTTGCCTTATGCTGAAGGTTGATCTCTCATTGCTTTTAAGCTGACCTGTGGGGGGGGGGGTCCACTATGTACAGATTTGCAGATGTGTCTGGCCAACCACTTGTTCATTTTACTTTAATTACTTGTCCTCATTTCATTTCAAGTTTCTCCCCCCTCAACATAACCTAAGGTCCAATTAACCTAAAAAGGGGGAAGGTTAGGGAGGATGATTCCTTGGGCGGCACTGTGCTCTGGGGGTGCTTCACACCTCCATGGTAGGAATATTGAATGCCACCCCCCCCCCCCCCCCGTGCATGTTGCTCTTGAGTACTCTGGCTACCACCCACAGTCCAAAAATCATGCAGTTAGGCTAGCTGGCATCTCTACGTCATCTATAGGGTGTGAGTTTATATCCCATCCTGCTTAGAATAGGCTCGAGGCCCCTCCGCGACCCTACGCATGATAAGGATCTGAAGATTAATGGAAGATAAAGGGAACCTCGGAAAGTAAATGTTTCATACCTTACACTCAGAAACGTTTTAAACAGAAAGCTTTTTGATACACTCTATATACAATATAGCTATTCATATCAATTCACTTAAGTTTTCTGTGCATGGCTGTCGATCAGAACTCAAAATTGTACAGCAGAAAAAAGGGTAAAAATTTGTACCTTCGCTTGTCACTGGGGTTGTACCCTTGTAATTGTACCTTTTAAGGTACAGAAATGGACTCTGAGGAACACCCCAAAGGTACAAACAGCATTAATGTACCATCAATAGTACAGATATGTTTCTCAAAGTCCATTTCTGTAGCTTAAAGGGTATAATTACCTGCAGCTAAGGCTACAATTGACAGGCCCTTGAGGGTACAGCCCCAGTGACAAGCAAAGGTACAATTTTTTGCCCTTTTTTCTGAGAGTGTAGTTCTGCCAAGTATGTTTTCCCTCTTGACGGCCAATCCCTCTGACAGCCATCGAGGGGCACTGTCTGCAATAGGCATCACACTGAACAGCTTCTGCTTCTAGAACACCTGAATAAGAGAAGCACTATTACTTTTTTTTAAACCATCCTAAAGCATTCATGGGAATAACCTTACCAGCCATGACTGGAATATAATGCAGGCTCTTTGATTTTGAAACTCATTCAAAAAAACAAGCTCAGTGCATATACCAACCACTTCAAGCAAAATTGTTTTAAATTTCCAATGAAGGCTTTACACATCAAAAAATGTAAATTTAAAAGTAGTTCCTCAGAAATCAAATAAAATTTTACTTTGTTTTATAAATATTTCATTACTTCATTTTTTTTCCTGATGACAACAGAGAATAGATTATTAAAATGAATGAAAGTGAAATCAAATTTATTTTTAGTATTTTGTTTATTTGAAGCAGTTTGAATCAATATAGGAAATTTCACGCCAACAGATCATGTAACATTTTGCCTGTTGGTCCTATCAGACTGTGTAATGCATAAGCTTAGCTAAAGTGTCAGGGAGCCATATGAAGAACTGGACTGACTATTGTAGGAAAGAGTCGAAAGAGTCCAAAGAGTCCATTCCTGCAGCGCTAGTCAAAAGTTTAGACACACCTACCCACAGAACTGTTTATCAGTATCATTCTGTACATTGTATAACAATTATAGAGAAATCAAAACTTTAAAATAACATATATGGATTATGCACTGTCCAGATATTAAACAAAAAAAAATTGTTGGGGGATAGTGCACCTCTGTGGGTTGGGATTCAGAAGGTTGCTGGTTCAAATCCCTGGGTCGGCAAAGTGATGCCACCATTGGGCCCTTGAACTTAACCCCAATTACTCCAGGGCCTGACTGACCCTACTGTCTCCATCCTCTGGGATGCTGTTCCAGCTGTGCTGAAGGAGGTCCCACATATGCTGAGCTCTCATTGGCCGCTTTCCCTGCACTCTCCGGTCAGACTAAGACAAAACCATTTCTACTGTCTTTAGGTCAGGTGGCCAGGTCAGGTGATGTGACACTGATCAGTCCCCTTTGTAGGCGGCTTGGCGTGTCCAAACTTTCGTGACTGGTACTGTACATCATGTAGATCAGCTGACCTGCCAGGGTAAGTTTGCTCTGAGAATTTTCCTGCTCAGGTACTGCTACAGTTCTCATTTAGCTATGAGCCCAACACCAGTGTGAGTCATTCCCTTGGTGCAGCTCTTTTGTGCGGCGTTTAAATTAATTTGGGAGTTCATTTTGGAAGGATAAATTATGCTGTAGAAATTCTCTGAAAGAATCCCAAATTGAATGTTACCCACCTCATCAAAGCTAGAGGCTTCCCCTTGTGGAGAAACACATAAGCACTTCCTTATAAAAATGCAGCTTAACAGAGTTTCAAATAAGAGTTAAGAAAAAAGGACGCATTAAGTGGGCTTTCCTACAGCGGAAGATGGTCAAAATGTCTCTCTCTCTCTCTCCTTGCTCCGCTTTCAGCCTATGCATGAAGGGAGAGCAGACCATCCATAGGGAAAGGAAAGGGTGTAAGGAATAAGCGGTGCTGTTGCAGCTGATCGGGCGAATGCCGGGCACATTGCTGCAGCCCTGGTATTAATTACGTTTACTTAAGGCCAGAAAGACAGCACTGAGCAAATCAGCTCTCCCACCGTGACTGTCCTTCAAATGTTCAAAGACAAGGGAGTCACAATATGGGACAAATATTGTGGAAAGTTGCATCACAAAATTGACATTTTTGCCAAGCTTTCTGAAGCCAGAACCAAGAATTATGTACATTTAAGAACCAAATTAAAACAACAAAGTATGTTTGCCATCAGACTACTACATCATCTTTGGAGAGCAATACTAGTCATACTACCCAACAGTATAAGTTAACCATGGTTTAACTGAACAATGGATATTTCTGAGAAAATGTCAGCTACATTCAAACATCCCAAGAGCAACAATAATAATAAGCTGTTCATGTTGCACAGCAGTAAGAATTACCCGAAAAATTATTGCTATTTGTAATACCATTGCATATTTAAGCATAGTCGTCCTCATGATACACAAATGAGGAATGGGGGGGTGGGGGGGGGGAGGTAACCAACAGGAAACTTACTTGGAGGAGATTGACGGGCTCCTGGTATTGGGAGAGACGGCCAATGGAAGGCAGGCCAAAGGATTTGTAAGGGTCCTAAGAGGAAGTTAAAACAAGGGGAAACGTTAACTTTTAAATAAAGCACAGGAAACAAGGTCCACCGCCACTTCTCAAAGTTACAGCCATTGGTAAGGCCATTTCTTGCCCAATTATCCCTGGTTAACAGGATTAATTACTGCAACTCCTTTTCTTTTCTTCCCTTGGAAGCAAATAACCAATAAATCTACAGCTACACTAAAAAAGGTTTAGAACGTCGCTCTAATTAGCATAACAAGTCACAAAATTATTGCAGTCTTAAAGTGAGAAAACATCTGAAGCACACAGGATGTTGTCTGCAATTTGGGGGGGGGGGTTTTCAATTGTATAAAAAAAACTAAAAGCTGTTAAAAATAAGCAAAGCCGTCAAGGAGGGCAGCATAGTAAAAGACTTTTTACTGTTGAAATGTATACGAATGTCTAGTCGATCCAATTTTAGCGTGAAATATAACCGCTAAAGAAGGAAAAATGTACTGGCAGTTTTTCCTTGTTTTTTTTTTTTTTGTTTAATTATTTGCTTGTTTTTACCTCAGCGTAAACTCTGCTCTCAATGGCCCAACCATTGATGGGAATATCTGCTTGCTTGTGTCGGAGTGTGTAACCACTGGCAACGCGAATCATTTCTTGGACTAAATCCAGGCCGGTAATGCATTCGGTGATGGGGTGTTCAACCTAGAAAATTAAGAATACAGGCAGAGACTGGCGTGACGATGCTTGACAGAAAAACACACACAGTTTCTCAGCAGTGACTTTTACCACCGTTCTCATCCCAGGTACCCTCTCGGACACTCGGCGGTTAACAAACACACTCGCCTATTAAAATTCATGGAGCCATTAAGTTTTCAGTTATGTCAAAGTCAGCATGTCTTAATTTCCCCATAATATTTTTATAGCTTGCAGAAATATCAAAAGGGCTCATTAACTTGACGTTCAATGTAAGGAAATAGTAAACACTGTGAGTCACAAACAATTGAAGGCGTATAACGGCTGGGGGGTGTAACTGTACAATATGTCTTAGCTCAGAGGTGCTACTAAAATGTAACACGGAACTGATTAGTAACCACCGGCTTACCACAGCCTACCCCCGCCCCCCCCACCACCACCACCTCTCTGAAATGGAATAGTTCAAAGTATGAAGACAAAGCATGCGATTTCCACACAACTGGTTTAACCCAAACCTCACTCGTTCGCCTGCTTTCACTAACCTGTCCTGACAAGTAACCAGATTACCGTAATCTCACATCAGTGCAGAGGAGCAGCAATGAGCAGATGGATGCTTCAGTTTTTCTCCCCTCCTCCGCTCCCCTCAGACTTATCTGCGTAGTGCTTAGCATGCACAACGGCGGGAGCAGGATCAACGCGGTCAACACGCTAACAGCAAAATGCCGCTAGCGGCTTAGCATGATGCCGTTACGGGAATACCCGGCTCTGTCCTGACATCCGATGCATTAGCTTCTCTCATATCACAAAATAAGCACATCATCGCCGAGAAAAAGCCAACGTGGATTCATTACCCACGCCTTCTTTCATAATGGCATTAATTAGAAAAGCCTGACAATTTAAAAATGTGTTCGGTAAAACGAATAGCCTAATTATGGATGTTAAACCTCGATAATACAAAAAGGTAGCTGTGGAAATAAATGAAGAAATAAATCTCGGGTTGCAGACTGGGAAATTTAAATTCAGATTTATAACATGTCATCTGCTGTGAAAAACTAGGCTTGTCTTTTTACAGTTTCTCTGGTAAATATCAGTAAGTTTGTGAAACTGAACAGATGGGCTTGCTAATTAGCTCGGTTCACGTTGTAAGTTTGTTTATAAAGAGGGAAAGGGGTTTCAGACATCTTGACACATTTTATTAACATATCATACCTTAAAGTAATACCAGATGATACCTGTGAGGCTTTTCTGCCTCAGCTAAACATACTAGCGAGGTGGGGGGGGGGTTGGTCGACATCAATGCTATGCGAAACAAACCTTGTAAGATGCTCATGACTATGGACAATTATCGGGGACCACTTTCTGATACGCTTCTATTACATTTCTACAGCCTAAGCATAGCCCAGAGCAGCGTGCGCAGGAAGGGCCTAAAAGCTCAGGAATAAATGGATCCCCTGCCACTCTGACAGATTTACCTATTGTCTAGAAGGACCAGCTAACAGGATGATGTCACAGGATGATGTCACAGACAGTGGGAAACATGATGCTCCTAGCAGACACGAGGGTGTTCGCCGGTGTTTTCAGAAAGGGGGCTGGCAGAGGGCTCTGTCATATCCGTGTCATACAGGACACCTGGCGAGCCACGCTGAAAACAGACACAGGCCAGGGGGGGGGAACCGCCTCCCCCGACGGCAGCGGTCACTAGAGCCAAATTCAAATAAGGAGCAGGGAACCTGAAGGGGGCGAGAACCGACAGCGAATCTTAGCGACGACAACCCTAATAAGCAGCCACAGGAGCGCTAAATGTTACGCTTAAATTAATGCTAACTACATCTTACAAAGGTTCAGGAAGCATCACCTGATACAGGCTATCAATTCTAGCCAGTCATTCTGCCATATTTCAAATGGATATGAAAATCATGTGTAACACTGAGCAGGCCCGGACCCAGAAATTAATTTCAGGGGGTGACTGGTAACCCTCCTGATAGTTTTCGACGGGGGTTCAAACACATACCTGGCTATGGTGGGGGGGGGAGGGTTCTAACCTGTTATTTTACTATGTGGCCACGTGCCCAGGGCTGAGGAATACCAAGGCTTACGCAGAAAAGCGTCTGCAAGATCAGTACATTGCTGTATACAACGATAAAGCCCCATAACAAATACTCAGAACTACTCAAGAGACCCAAATAAAGCATCGTGTTGTTTTGGTTTTATAATTTAAGTTTTACATTTAAAAAAGAGCATGCAAGAAGTCTGACTGAGACAAAAATCTTCACATACCACTTGTGGCACCCGACATGCGACTTTGAACTCACCATTCCCTATAAAATAAAACTACGCATTAAATACAGCCTTTTGAAAGAAACTGGAGTCTTACTGTTTTAACTTAGCTGTGGACATACAGTACTGTGGATATATTTTATAATCTTGCAATTTATTTAAAGGGACATACACTTCAAAAAAAAATATATGGAAAGGGGCATACAGTTAACACAGAAGAGAAAAAAATATCCAAGATTATTCTCTGCCATACTGAAATTATCTTTATGGAGACAAAAACCCCGTTTCATCCCCAAAAAAATGCTTCAGGCAGTAAACAGAGATAAACATTTCCCACCAAATGATTTCCTGCTAAATCTGTCATCAAATTAAAAAAAACAATTCTAAAGAACAGCTAGCTATCCCAGTCTGTCTCAGCCTTCAAAAGCCCTTTATAATGAGGCATTTAAGGTCTTTGATCCCTAGAACTGCCATTCACAAGTGAATTGTCTGCTGGTCTTGTTTCCAAAACAGCCAACGCTGCTAAGATGGTCTGGTGCCCATAAGGTAGAAAAAAAAACGGGTATTCATCACATTATGGGGACATTTGGTCCCCACAATTTAAGGTATACCTGGACCACACACGCACAGTTTCGTAAATATGAACATTATATAGCGGCAGTGTGTGGCTCAGCCGTGATCAAAATGTTGCTGGTTCAAATCCCATGCTCGTCAGAGTGATTTCACCAAGACCCATAACCCCAATTGCTCCAGGGACTAACAGACCCTACTTTCCCAACTGCATGGCACTTTGCATAAAAAAGTTTCTGATAAATGAATAAATAAAACATAAATGTTAACCCTACAGTCAGCCATAACCTTTTTTTCAGATACGAGAATGGATTTCAATATCTAGCACATTTTTAGCTTTAGGCATTTTTATGATTAATAATGAAAACTACGTTATATTATTTTATTTTATTCAAAGATCAGTCAAGCCCTCTACTGTGTTTTCCTTTAAACAGTGCTTAAAAATATTGATATTGTTTTTTGTTCCTAGAAGCCTCCAGCTATTTTTGACATGACGGTTGTTTTTCCTGCTAGTTAAGATATGAAAGATATGAACCTGGGACTTCTGAGATCTTCAGTGGAAGGTTACAGTTGTATTTGTTTAAGATGCACGTGGGAATGCATTGAATTTTGTGGAATACAATGATTTTAGTTGTGATCTGAAATTAAGTTTTGGGGCAGAAGTACGAAAGCAAACACCCAGAGGTAAGAGGCTGAATACAATCATCCAGTTGCATTCGCTGCAAAAAAAAAAAAAACGATAATCTTTATGATTTTTTTTCCCCCCACCATGCTGATTATATACACCCAAACCTCTATGATAAGTATAACTGCAGTCAGGGCATTTGCATTTCACCATAATACGTGGCTTCAGAGAGATAAATTTATAGAGGGGGGAAAAAAAATTACCAAAAATTCAATAATGGGGAAGCTTTGGTAAAAGCCCTACCACACTGCATTCAACTCAAAGCACAGCAATTAAACAATGTGACAAAGTAGCACTTTGTCATCTTCACAGTGGAGATGAGTGGGAATTCTATATGATTAGCGCAAACATCCCTGTCTTGAGGCACACCCACTGAGAGAACAGGCTCTTCAGCATCACCCACACAACTACTGATATCCGGGAATAAAAAATAAATAAATATGCGAGAGCCCTTGCTCAATATTAACACTAAAGCAATTAGGAATCTGCCTCTTCAGAGGGACATAATGTGGCTGTTAGAAAGGGGGAGGAGACACAAAACCTACAGTAACAAGATCAATTTCAATGACACAGAAATATTCTTGTTGCACTCCAAGAAAACCAAGAATGATCATAAAGTCACCAAATTTGGCATTTTTAATGCAATCGTTTAAAAGAAGAAAAAAACACTCTGTACCAGCATATGCCCATTTTTAGCCCCACAAAGAGGTTATAACAAAGACTATTTGTAAACTGTCACTACTGTCATCATTTCCTCTTACCCAACGTGCTTCAGCCCGGTGGAGGTCATGCACCAGGTCATGTAACCTTACCGAGGCACCTGCCTCTCTATCCCTTCCTCTCCCGAGCGCTACACCCACCCAAGCAGGAATTAGCCGCCTTATGAATCATCTGTACAGGAAGATCGTGAGCTTTGGATGGGGCTGAGAGGGCTGCGGTCGGACGTCGGATGAGCTCAGAGGCATGGCCCTCATCCAGGATTCAGAAGCCAGCGCTATGAGGGCACGGGAAGCAAGCAGATAGAGGCCATGAAATTCCACAATTCTCCTCCAATAGGATCACTTGATGAGTTGGGAGGCGGGGCAAAGGAGACAAGACGCATATTTTCCCTCCCTTTGTCTGCGTAACTTAGACATCAGACGTTGGTATATTTCCCCCCCTCATCCCCCTCCCTCGCATACCTTCTGCTGTTTTCTTGCTCTCCTACAGCTCCCCAAATCTCCACAGGGGGATTCAGATAACCAAAAACGCTGATCCCGCCACAAAGCACAGTCTACTCGCAAAGGTCAGGCACAACAGCCTATAAATGCCTCCCGACCGGCCCGGCTCCTAATACTTTAAAACCCAGCCTCCTAGCATTGCTACCTAAACTGTCTATCGTGTAAAGTGTCAGACCCCTCTGTGAAATTGCCAGCTTTTGTGGCCCCCATCCAATGGGAGCGACTGTTCTGTATTATCTGTGACCTTCAGGCAAAAGCACTTTGAGCAAGAGACACCAATTGCTAAGGCCATTGAAACTGGAATTGCCCCATGCATCTGTTGCAATAGCATTTAAAAAAAAGAGGGGGAAAAAAAAACACTGATACTTAAATTATGGCAATTGAAGAGATGGGCCAATTTAAGGAAAGCATTTCTCAAATAGAACAAATTGCATACAAATAAACTCTCAAAAGAGTCCACTACAAATGCGACCCACTTACCATATGAGGTCAACAACATACTATAGACACTACTACAAAAGATGTACAAGGCTCTGCATACAGCAAACATGACTTCCTTAAATCTCTCTCATGCACACTTGCAATGGGTCACTAATCCTTAAGGGCATCGCCTATGATACAATAAGTAGATGTTGTTGTTCTAAGCAAGTCGGAGAGTTTCCAAGTGGTCGGGCATTACTTTAAACGACAGTGATGAGCCTCAAGTGAGTAACCTTACACATGCTGGTTACCAGCACAGAGGGCACACAAATGAAAGCAGTTGGTCTCAGAAAGGAGGAGGAAATAAAATAAAAAATAAAAAACATGTAATGTCAGGCATCAAATTTGTCTTAAAAATAAGATTTATTCAAATAAATAAATAGACACCAAACAGAGAATGTGAAAAAGGAGACACCGCTGTTTGACAAATATTTGGAGAGGTGGTGATGTTTTTACTGCTGACGTTGACATAAATCTCACGAGTACGGCCAGGCCTTACTGAGCATGTGCTCGATCGGGGAAAAAAGGCAGAGGAATTTTGCTGCACGAGGGCAGGAAATGCGGAGCACCCTGTCCAGTCGCGGAGAGTCAGCTGGCGCCAGGAGACTCCTGAGTACCTGCAGGCGAGTGTTCATCTCCAGGAAGTAGAAGTTTTTTCTTGAGTCCACCAGAAACTCCACGGTACCGGCGGAGGAGTACTGCACGGCCTTGGCCAGCGACACGGCTTGTTCACCCATCGCTTGCCTCGTCTCGGGGTCCAGGAACGTGCTACGGGAAGGGGACAGGCTGATTACTTCCACATATTCACGAGGACCTCACGGGCATTCGGCCTGAGCATTCATTAATATCACAGCTTGCTAAATGGGGCTTTTCCACAAACAGTATTTTCATAACCATCTCAGAGTGTAGTTCACATAAAAGGGTAAACGACTGGGTGGCCTTGTCTGAAAACCACAATTACCTCAACCTTTAATAAATATGTTTTATCAGTACCTTCAAATCTGTATGTGTGAGTGAAATTTTGGTTTTTAGAAGGTGATGTAGAGAGTGAACAACACAAGCACCTGCAGTGGATAGGAATTCCAAATATTTAACGTGCTACTAGAGAATAATGTTCTGACATTATGTCCCTGGTGGTTCTTAGACAATCAGGAGACCAGAGCGGTTATCAGGCTATGGGGGGGGGGGGGATGGGGGGTGCACTGCACATCGGTTCTGGAGAAGGTCAAGGATGAACTGGAGCCGACTGCCAAGCCAACCTGGACAAGACGCAGGAACGCTCATCTAGCACAACGAGGCTCCATGGTTTCCAACACAGATGCAGAACAATCCAGAGTCAATTTAACAGCTTAAAACTGTATGGTCAAGGCAGAAGTAGGGTGTCTCTGGACACTAAGCGAGTTCAGTTCAAGACTATTGTTCAGATGTGAAAAAAAAGAAACACACACACATACACACACACACACACACACAGCAGCAACCCAAAAGCCAATTTTTGCTTTGGAGAGAGAGAGCAGTAGTGTTGGGCGCTGGCAGGACTTCCCGATCTGACTCCTCTGGCTGGGAGGGGAACAATGGCCAGTTGGAGGAGGTGAAGTGGAGGGCCAGCAGCCCCCCCCCCAGCGTGGCAGGAGCAGCACACGCCAGCGGCGTATCAGCAGGCCGCGTTTCTCTGGTTCTCGCCACCGAGGGGCACCCTGGCCCCCACTGCCCCAGAACACACCCACCCACTCCGCTCTCAGAAGAAGAGGTGAACCACACAGCAGCAGGAGAGCAGGAGAGCAGGAACGGGCTGGTTATACTGGAGATACCCCAACAGCCTCTTTCATATGCAGAGAGATGGTCATTCGAGAGATGGAAGCTGGTCTGTAAGCAGTGATTTAAATATGGCAAGCTTAGGTTTTATTATTATTATTATTGTTATTATTATTATTAACTACAAGGGTGAAGGACATGTGAATTTACCTTGGAGCCTCTTCCACCACCTTCTGATTGCGCCTCTGAATGGAGCATTCCCTCTCATTTAGCCACAGGGCATTGCCGTGCTTGTCAGCTAGAACCTTGAGTGACAACACAGAAGTTCTTATTTTTCAACTGTACGTGCAACCAAATCCTCTGACATCCAGCAGAGGATGTGGACAGAGATAGATGCATCAGCAAGCAATGCTGCTTCATAAGCATATTTATGGGTCAGTATAATTTTGAGTCTTGTTTATAGAGAGAGAAAAAAATGACCACGGAAATAAGATGTGGCTCATGATATATGCTGCTCCTGTAAGACTTACAGATCCATATGCTAATACCTGAGACTAATTAGAGTGCGATATTTTGAAGACTGACATTGATCCAGGTACAATGCACAAGGCTTGGACGGTATACCACAGTATTTTGGGCCAAGATTTTAAAAATACCGTCAAAATCTCATATACCGAGGTATGTCTTCAGTAGTGATGGAAAGGTACGAAAACATCACAGTTATAGTGACCAACATTATCACGGTCATCAATATTATTGCTGTTCGTTTACAAAGTGCTGAAAGTGTTCAGAAAGTACTGATATACAAACTGAAATCATTTCATCATGTTTTACATCGAAAAACCACACATAAAATTAGCAGCACTGTGCACTTTGTTTGCATGAACAATAAAAAAATGACATAGCCAATTCCTTATGTAAACATATAAAAACCATATGAAATGTGCATTAAGATTAAAAATCTCCAGAGTGTTGTTACTGGCTGCACGCCACGCCTGCACACCTGCGTCTGGGAGACAGTAGCTAACTTTGGTTGATGCTAGATGGCATTTAACACGGGTTTTTCAACATGCGGTAATCAACCACAATCCATATGATGATTGAAATTTGAAACAGTACTATTAACAGTCAGGAATTTTACCATGGTTTACCGTGAAACCGTTTACCGTTTAATCCATAGTCTGGACAGTGTGATGGGACGAAAAATTACGTACCACCCAAGCCTATGATGCACTATAAACAATGCCAGTTAATTAGCACGACCTGTATTTCAATTTATACCGTACAGACTCTGATATTCCGAGGAAGTCGCCATTTCCAATTAGTTATATATTTCATGCTTCATCACTGGCAAAAACTGTCAGACCGCGGGGACAACTTTCGACTTTGATTGCAAACAAGCTGTGGCAATTACATCACCAGGATTTATGGGGGAGGACAGGATGGGTCCAAGGATGGGGACTGACCCTTGGCAGGCCAGCAGGCTACCTTGCCAGCAGCACCAGAATAGACTGGAGCTCACTGGTGGGCAGAACTCCTGTGTGTCACACGGGGTCATGGGTCTGCCTGCCGCTCCGGCACACCAACAAATGCGCCTCTCCTTTGCTCCTGGGTCCCACAACTGCCTCACGTGGAGACGCCACTTGCTCATAAATAATAAATACAGCACTGCAGGCATCCATTCTAATATGAAAGTCTGCCTCATTGTTACAGCGATGCATGCGACGATGGCTTCCGGGGGGCGTGGAAAGCGGCAACAGGACTCGAGTGCCAAAGCGAGACACCGCCGCTTAGCCACAGAGCATGAACCTCGACGGTGCGCCTCTCATTTACATCCCTAAAATATGCATGGTTAAGGTTGGCTAAGCCAGACATTGCGGCTCGTAAAAGGCAAAGCTAAAGGATTCCCATCGCAACGCTCGTATTGCTAGCAGCCGCCCTGCAGGATATGCTCTGGTTTCAGAGGAGAAGCTGGCTGGAGAAGGTGCCTCGGTGACTCACAAAAGCTCGGCTGATTGACAAGAGCTGGAAGTAAACAAGGATATATGAGTCCACCAAGAAAAACTTACGGATTTCAAAAAGCGTCCAAATATATACAGGTCTGCAAAGCCAAAGCAGCCTGTTTAAAAATGCTCCAATGATGTGGCAATCAATACGAGCATGACCACACCTACACAAGGGAGTCTACAGTGATACCAGAGATCTGAAGCTACTTCCTTCAAAGGCCCAGTCACCAATTGTGTCCATTGTTTACATGACACCTACAATCTACATACAACAGACGCACAATTATACAATGCATATAAGAGGAGCTTACAAGACGTAAGGCCACAAATACTGCTATTGGTGCATGAGGATAGCTGGCATGGACGAATCCTAGCGCAGAAATGTAAAGATAAACAATAATGAAGCAGCATCGTTCCAGGTGGAGGACTGGTCTCACCTGTATTTCTATGTGCCGTGGGTTATCTATGAACTTCTCAATAAGGAGTCGGTCATCACCAAAACTTGAAGCGGCTTCTTGCGATGAAAAGCGAAATCCTTCCCTGAAAAGGAACAGGGGGTGAAATTGTCGGGAGAAAAAACAATTTAGTATTTGCACTTCCGCTTATAACTATAACCATCTACACAAAACGTCTGTGGAATTCAGCTCTCAAGTATTTTTCTGATTGTTATGGTTATTCCTTGACAAAACATTTTCCAAGATTTACTTCAAGATTAACTCCAAGTGGAATTGCAATACATGATTAATATTGTTCCTCAAAGTTGATATTTATTGAAAGAAAGAAAAAACAAACAGGTGGAATTTAAGCAAAGTTTAGCAAAACCTGCAATAACACTGGACCCCTGCACATCTTATTTCAACACTTACTATACTGAAGACCTTTAACACAAGTTCTTAAAAAAATACATAGCCTCTCTCCTCCCACCATCAATAGAAAAACATTTTAAAAACTACAAAACGATTACAAAAAATGTCTAAGACCAACAAATATGGATATTGTGCAAAGAAATCAAGTTTTATTAATTCAGTACTTTACAGATTTTATCCACAATAGGTGCGATTAACTGAAAACCATTAAAACATATATTACAAACAAAAAAAATTCTACTCTATAAGCATATATTTCTAACAGTTTTATTCCACAAACCTAAGTAAAATTAGCCTATTCTGAACAGGCAGACCTTTCCTAATTGAATACTTTTGAAAGTTTTACCAAGGAAATATATATTTTTTTCTATTACTCTGTCCCATGGAATAAATTCACACTTTGATTTGTTAAAGAAAAAAAAGGAAATGTTAATACAGGTCACAGTTCTCAGAAATGTTAATCTGTAAATGCATCCATATTTGAGAGAGGAAAAGGGGAAAGTTGCAATTAAACTGTCATTCTACCAGGTGCATCAGATACCACAAAATCGAAACACAATGTTTATTTAACAATATATTATAATACACATGACATTATTTCTGTAGCTTAATGGAAGCTGATAAAAGATCTCAAACTCCTTTATTAATAACGAAACAGCAGCACCTGTTAATGCACTTCTCCCTCCACAACTATAATTCTTTTTATGTCCCTACTATACAGCTCGATTTTAGGTGAAGGAGTCTCGTAACAAATCTAATGTGCTCACCGCTAAATACCGAATGCATATGGGACAGATAAACATCAAGATACAAATTGAAAAGTCGCGTGGCTAAGGGATACTTGTGAGTGAACGGGGGCCTGCTTGGTTTTGAAGACCTCTGCTCGGCTCTCAGCGACTTGACAAAGGCAGGCTGGCCGTCTGGCACCGGCAGCCCTGTCGAGCAGCGACGGTGGCACCCCCCCCCCCCCTGTAATGAATCAGCTGGGTCCTCTGTTAGCATTAGCATGGCGGAAAGTGAGGGGGGAACTTAACCATGACTGCAGGTCATTATCTGTTCAAAAGGCAAACTCCCGTCAACAAGGTCTCCCTGCCTGCAGTTCCCCTCTTATCGATCCCGCATATTTACATTTGCAGGGGTTCTGCTGAAATATCCAATTAGGTTAATTTAGAACAGCTACAATTCCCGAGAACTTTATCCATTCAGTCTACAGATAACTAACCTAATTAAGACTGGCCTCTCCTCTTAAGCCCTGCTGAATTTGCAAATTAAAAATGCAGCCAGAGATTAGATAAGATAGCAAATGCAAACAGGGATGACTTCAACCCCCTTTAAAATGCCGATAAACATGCACAACTGTTCCAGCATATCAATAAACTCGGTCACTCTGCCCGCAATCTACTGTGAAAACACTAATGGCTAAGTAAAATTTTAAAGAAGGGGAGAGGTTGTGAGTAAATAGTAAAGGTGTTGAGAAACAAGACCATCTGGAAGAGCAGCCTCTGTATCTAAATAGTCACAAACAGGGGTGAATTGCATTGTGGTGATTTCCAGCCACATGTGAAGAAACACGTTGTGTTTGGTCTGACGGCACCCTCTCCTGCAGCGTAAACATAAACAGCACACCTGCTGAGCCACGTTTACTCCAGTCATCTGCTCGATCTGGCCCTCTGGACCACCCCAACTCTCCCCAACATTTCCTTTGAACTTTTCCCTTTTTTAAAGGTGGGGGGTTGAGGATGAAATTTAAATCAATGACCACCAGTGTCCCTCCGGTGACTCCTCAGCTGGCCGGTCTATCGGGATATCCAAGGCACACAGGTCCAAAACAAAGACAGATCTTAGTCTCCGCCAAACAAAAGGTGGCCAAAACAAACATCAAATAACTGATGATCAATTTGTACCCAGAGAGGTACGATTCTTTTGATGACAGATGATGTTTGTGATGATGAGTATACAANTGAAATTTAAATCAATGACCACCAGTGTCCCTCCGGTGACTCCTCAGCTGGCCGGTCTATCGGGATATCCAAGGCACACAGGTCCAAAACAAAGAAAGATTATACATTCTGTGTAATATCACATCGCCAAAACAAACATCAAATAACTGATGATCAATTTGTACCCAGAGAGGTACGATTCTTTTGATGACAGATGATGTTTGTGATGATGAGTATACAATTCCTGAACATCTAAATGTTAAAAGATTTTAAAGTGACATTATATGTAATATTAAAATATAGAATATATATAAGAATTGAGCGTGCATTCAGTCACAAAATTATACGATTAAAAACAAGCCGACTCCAGCCTGCAGTTACCAACACCTGAAGCAACAAGTTTAACTAAACCAGGAACAGCAACAGCATCAAATGGGCTTTACAAGCCAGTGTGGTGGACAACTCTTTATTTGTCTTTAATCCACCCAAAAAGTCCCCCCCCAGTAAACAGTGGGCACCCTGTACCCAATCTCTCTGGGCTGACAATCATCAACACCTTTGATGCAGGGTGGAAAAGCACACGGTTGAATTTTGGACAGGGTCTCACCTGGTTTCTTCATCATTCCAGGCGATCCTCATGCCTTTCCCCCCGCCACCTGCTGACGCCTTGATCATGACGGGGTAGCCTGTCAGTGGGGAACAATTAGACACAAGTTCAAGCTTTGATCATTTGGTCATGTGAACATGACAACTAACCATATGTCCAATATAATACCAGAGACAACTACAAAAAAAAAAATCCAAATACACATTTTTTTTTTTTTTTGCAAAAAAAAAGGAAAAGGATAAGAGCAGAAAGGCAGATTGTGCATTTTAATTTGGAAGCAAGACCTTTTGCTATTACTGCGTAAACATATTTTAGCATTTAGAGGCACTTTTTGTCGCACACAAAAACCCAATAACGTGCAACATGCCAATACATTTCAAAAACTGAACAAAATTGAAGGTGCACACAGCTTTTGACATTGTGAAATATGACATTTTGCACATTATATTAATGGACAAATAGAACCACTTCTACTGACATTAAAACTGGAATGACGACTGGAAGAAGTAGAATGTTGGAAAAACAAGCGATCCGGGGGGAGACGCGTCTGACGGACGCTCCCTGACAAAGCGGGTGGGTGCAGCGCAGACACAGTTGAGGCTTACCGATTTCCCCCGCAATCCTGACCGCTTCTTCTGCATCCTGCAGAAAGAGAAAACAGAACACAGCATTACCCCCCAACTGCACCAGCAGCCAAACTGTCCTACATGGAACTCCCTTGCATTTACAGCCCCATGAGCCTCGACTGGAGCAAAGGAATATTAATAGCATAATACGAGAATTTCTTAGTGTTTATAATCTCAGTAATGACCTAAGAATCAGACAAGGTTGTAATGCTGAGAATTACCAGTAATAACTATGTTCTGGAGTCTAAATGGGATTTTTTTTTCCTCTCAGTGTTGATATTTCCAGATAAAAATGCATGAATTCTTTTCCTATGTGGGGGAGTGGAAGAGATTAGCTGTCTTGTCCAGGAGACAACCTGAAGCATTTTCCACAAACTTGCAGTAGGGGGAGCACCTCCTCTATTGTTTTCTCCAGATCATTCCAATCCCTAAAACAAACAACTGCAGGCAGGGTAGGCTGAAGCAGGATGGGTCAAATCACCATGCTAAGAAAACATATCATATCACACGGCTCTCGAGAAATAAATCTTCGCATTTATTATACTTTAAATGTAATTTAATAATGTATTCCTTTCCAGATCATCACACCACCCATCTGTCTATATTTCACAAAATAAGCATTGCTCTTCAGACAAAATCACTACACTATCAACTAAAATAATTAATACAGACATTGTTTTATGTCATAATTCAGATATTTGAAAGATGTAATTTCTCGCTCAGAAACATGTCTAAAATATATCCATCGTCATAAAAAAATTACATGAGCTTTTATACAATGAAGCCAATTCAAAGTGATTAAATGACAGCCTTTTTCCTAAACAAAGCCAATCGCTTCTGTTAAAACTAATGCCTAGCAACTGTCAGTTGTTTAAGTATGTCAAACAATCGATCCCGGAGTCAAAACATTAAAATGAAATTTGATAGGCTTTAAAACATTCAGCACAAGACCTCCTACAAGCTACGACAGCTCAAGGGATTTTCTGTTTGGCTCGTTCATTTAAAACCTGCTTTCTGCCCCCCTATATTTCATGTAGCTGTCCAATACAAGACTGAGGAGGCGGGTGGGGGGGGGGGTGGTATTGCAACACTCAGCACTCAGAAAACACACAAATAAAGCAAAATTTTACAGGGATGATCCAAGTTAGCTGGTAGAAATGTAATTACCTTTTTAAAAATTCCCCGTAACATACGTACATTCCATCATTGTCATTAATACTATCACCATTATTACTACTACTACTATTGTTGTTGTTACATTCTATTTTGTATACACATATAATGTTTAACAGGGATGTAGGACAATGGACGAGATAGAAAATTTGTGTGGAAGGCCAGGTCAGCTCTTTTACATCCAGAGACTCTCTTTGCAGACATAAACACACAGACGGAGGTTTATAAGCATGATTCCACACAGTGGACAATCCAAGCATGGCTTTTGTTCCCATATGTGCAGGTTATGCAAGAATACTTGTCCTTAATAGCCACTCAGTCAGGAAGTGTTAAATCTGCCAAATGCAGACAATCAGGTCTCACACAGAATGAAGGAGGAGTTCTGACCACTAGAGCCATGCTATTCAAGGATGGTTACAGGTTTTTCTTTATTCCTTGCCAATCATAGCTTAATTCGCAGACCTGCAAAGAGCAGGCATAAATAGAGCACTTCATTCCCTGATTGCTCACCTATTGAATCCCAGACGACGGCACCTTTTCTCAAGCTTCCCAAACAGGAAATTCCCAAAGCAAGCATAGTCCTATAGTCTGACCACTTGTCCCATGAAATCCAATCAACAAATCAAAAAATTCAAAACGTACTCAACTAACCTCGGAATCATATCATATTTCCATTTATGATAATTGATAAATTTAGAGGCCATCATAATTTCAGCATTATACTGTAAGAGGTAAGACACCTGCAATAGTCTCAGGCTAACAAGATAACGTTAAGACTGCCTACGTTAATTTCCAGTGATAAGGATTTTTTTTTTCCCTGGGGAAAAATGCACGTCTAAACTGCTAACATAATATTAGCTAACAACAGAATGACAGAATTAACGAAAGAGTTTATTTACATTAATTTCCTGTCATCCACAGAAGAATAAAAAAAAAAACAATGAAGACAAAATTGAGAGATGGTAATGATTGTGAAATACATAACTTTGGTTTTCTTTATACATCAAAACATTTATGGGCATCTATTGTATAGATGCAAAGAAATAAGTATTCATTCAAAACAGTCAAAGAAAAACTAGGATGAAAATGTCATAGTTATTGCATAAGCTAATAATGCATGATCTAATCTTAAGCCATTTTAAACTGCTAAACTGTAGATGTGAATTAAAAAAAAAATCACACTCTCACTTGACTGACTTAGTGTCTTGTCATCACACTGACAGTGCCTGCTCTTTTCACCAATGATGGATGCAGGTGACTTACAATCAGCAATGTACATACGTGTGCTCCGCAACAGCTAACAGAGTCGCCTCACCTTCACCACCCCATCAAAGCCGGGAATAGTGTTGACCTTGGCTTTCTTGGCAATTAATTTGCTCTCAATCTTGTCTCCCATGGCTTGAATAGCGTGTGTGTCTGGTCCAATGAAGGTGACACCTTCTGCTGCCTGTGGAGATAATAAAGGCCTTAACTTTACAGCTCTTGAATCAATCGCCATTGAGCATTGACACGAAGACACACAATTATACTTTTGATAGTCATAGTTACCATATTTTTGTTGAGAAAAAAAAAAAATCACAGTTAAACAACTCTGACTTCTTAATTTCATTTTCTGTGTGGTTGAGTCTTGCATTGTATTTTATACTTAACTTAGAAATTAAGTGGTTGGTTATGACACTAGTTCATCACCACTACACACCTTAGCATCTTAGCTGTAAAGTGAAAGGGACTAATGGGCAAATCATTTAAGAAACATTTCTAAGGTTCTGCTCATTACTTGCACAGTCATTTGCAGCAATTCTTGGTGGCTTAGAGATGAAGTATGCAAAGAGGTAATATTATAAGATAACCCTCTATGAAGGCACATAAACTGTGAAAATACACAGAGTTCTCTGTTATCCGCAGGATGCGGTGATACCACTTCCTGTTTGTTGCAGTGATGCCTCGGGCAAAAACCTCTATATATGTTGGAGATGTAAACTATCCCATATATTTATATGACAAAGAGAACGACACTTCAAAAGACCCTCTGTTAACTATAGAATTCCACAGAATAGTTCATTATAAATAATAGGACAAGCCCATACAACACTGGCAACAGTACTCGGGCTACATTAAGACTACGTAAAAGTACAAATATTTCTAAAAGCTCAACTGATGGGAAGATAATCAGGAACAACCCCTTAAAGACAAAGAATCCGCGATTACTGACGTGGACTCACTTTCACCTACAAGTTGTTTACGACAAACAAAAAAAGTACATAGTGATCAGGAGATAGTTGCGCAATGTTCATCAATAGTAACGTTTAAGTTTGACAAAACGGTGGCTCCAAGTTTGTGTGCTTGTATCAAGCAAATAATTCAGATGTCAAGGAATAACCTCCCCCCCCCCACCCCCAAGACCTCACCTATTGCCTCATTCAGGCCTGATCCTTTGCATAATAAAAGAAAACCTGTGGAACTAATCCTCACAAATCTTTTCTGCTTTTTTTTTTTCTTTCCACATACCTTCAGGCAACGCAGGACACAAAATGCTTCATTTGCATCTTTAAACTGTACAAACTGTGAAAAAGCCCTTTTAGCTGCAAATGTAATTACATCTCCATTTCCAGAGGAGAACAGAAGGTTAAATAGCCCACTCAGATTCATAGTAACTCATCTCTATTCCTGCACCTTCGCTTGCACAATGGGCAAGGAATGCGAATGGCCAGGCAGCCAACCTTACCGCTTCGGGGTAGTTGGATTCGGCAGTGGAAATGGATGTAGCTGTTGATTATGCACTGATTAAGGGCCACTAACACAAACAACTACACTTACTTCACCCTGACAAATCCTCCCTGCCCCCAGTGGGGGTAGGGGTCACAAGAATGACTGAATCAAGGCAGTAGGGATCTTCTTGAGGTAAAAGTGACACTGAGACTGAACCTAGACTGCCCTGTAATAAAGGCAGTAAAGCTATTATATGGAGCCTTAGTTTGAATCAAACAACATTCAAATTAGACGACTTTGAGTTATAATTAGCCTTTTCCCAGTACATGTTCACTAGCTTTCCCCTTTTCATCTTAGTCAAATTACATTACGGAAGCTGTGTAATAGAGGTCAATATACATCTGGTTAATTTTGCCCTCAAAAACGTATTATGTAACGAGCCACGGAATATAAAGAAACAATAAGAAACAAATGACCTTATCTGCTGTCTTTCTGTGTATTCTGTGTATCTGCCATTCACCATTTTCGCTCAGTGTTCCCGTGAATTAACACAATTACTTGAAAGTGGCAACGATGATTCATGACACATTTCAGACCAATACAACAGCTCATCACTTCACAGAAGTCACAGAATCAATAGGAAATGAGTATCCCCAAAAAAAAAAATGTTAAGATCAGGCTACTGCAGCCTACAGTCATGGTGCTGTCATTTTGTTTGGGAAGAAAATATCACATGCATGAAGTTGTAATAGACTACAAGTAAAAGCACAAGCATGGCCTTAAATTATCATATTCCATTTGTCAGTATTTAACTCTTCTATTCCATGTTTCCAGCAATAATCTCTCAAAAGTTTACACACTTCATTTCTCTCTGTGTTGTACTGCAACCTATGAGAATGAAGGAAGTCCATTGGCGTGTGGAGCTCACTTCCAACCCTAATGGAAACACCTCCACTTCCACTACAGCTAGAAATTACAAATGAACTTTTTGAGGGTTCCATCTCCATGGCAACGGGTTACAGTGTTGATGATATTGCCTTCATAGTCAACGAGATTTCAGCATATCAGGATGCAGATTGCTCCTCCATGGGTTGTTACAAAGGGTATATTTAACACATATCTAGTGGAGAGATGAAACACAGATGGGCATCTACTATACCATCTTTTAAAAACCTTTATTCAGAATATCATGTTACTGTTACAGTGGAAGCAGATTACTGCTGTTTTGTCTTGCAATATGACACTGGCTATAGAGCATTCGAGGGAATAACACATTCTCAGGTCAGGTTCTCCATGAGAAGCATTAAACACAAAACGGACAAACAAGCATTAACAAAAGTAATGACTGACCATGCAGATCAGATAAAGGGGGGAAAAATGAATGCACTTGTTAACAGCCTGTTGTAACTCAATTCAATAAATTACTAGGATATTTTGTTCTTTAAAAAGAAAAAGTAATTACACATTTCAGAATACGTCATGGCTGAAGCAAAAAACACCCTTCCCATTCGGAAGTAAACAAGTCGCTCATTAAGATGCTAATTTTCCCAGCAGGAATGTTGAAATGTTTTCCCAGCGGTATGTTTTCTGCGCTCTCTCTGCGTTTCAGGCAACAGAAATGTTTAAAAACGTGCCATTCGGCGGCCCTATTCCGCCACGGCGGCTGCGGCTCACCCGCGAGAGCCCACAAGAGGGTCAGTGTGCGGGGCGGTGGCGGCCCAGTTGAGGCAGGACGTGTTTAACATGTCGGTGCCGCTGTAGAACACGCGCCTGAAGAGAGCGCCGACCCCGTGCCTTTGCCGCGCTCTCCTGTCGCCCGCGTGAATCCCCTCCGTGCTGGAGGACAAGGCCGACAGGTGACCGTAAACAATTAATCAACATTTTGACACGGCTCCATCTGCTGGGGCCAACAGGGACTGGAGGGGAGTCAGTCACTCTGCAGACACTCCTCGGGCCTCACACAGGGAAGCGTGCGGCACGCCAGCAGCAGAAAGCACAGATCACCTTTTACCAGCCTCTGTTAAACAGAGTTATGTCAGGGCGAGATGCACGGCGGGTCAGCTTTCAAGCTCAAAGTTCAGTCCAGTTCAGTCGGAAATGGGGAGTCGGTCAGAAAAAGCATTAAGGATCAGTCAGGATTCAACCCTGTTATTTATAATTATTGTGGGGGGGAGGACATCAAACTGTTCTGTCATATTTCTGAACTTTAAGAGTTGATATCTTCAGACACTGAGCATGAAATGAGGCATCATATTTGGAGGAAGATTTTAATTTTTTGTATTTTGTAAAATTACAATAAGTAAACATAATAGAAATCCATGATAATAATAAAAAAAATACAGAATGGTTAGAAGAAATCAATATTTTGAGCATCCTATAAGCTTTAACTTGTGTGTTTTCATTCCCTTTCAGGCGAATATGGCAAATGGGTAAATGCACTTTAAAGATATTCCCGTCATATAAAGCAGACTAATTTGGAAAATGTGCAATGCTTGACATCCCGCCCAGAGTGTTCCACGACTTTGCGCCTTATGCAGCCTGTGACAGGCTCCAGACCCAGAACCCCCAGCCCCCCGCCCCCCCCCCCCCCCCCCCCCCCAAAAAAAAAAAAAAGATTAAAATGACTGGTTCGATGGCTGCATGGATGGATATATGAATGTATTGATTTTAAGACTGTCTCCAATTTTTGCACGTGGTATAAAGAGGAAACGTGTTCAGTTTAATACCATACACTAAAAATGAGTCCTCATTTTGACTGTACCCTCATCATTGGGGCAAACCATCTTTTAGTACCAATGGGATGACATTGACATTTTAATAAGCACCGCACTGAGTAACGTGGCTGTGAGAATGAGTGTCACGCCCACCGGCAGCTGATTGTTCCACAGGACAAGGACAATACGAAGTAGTGACATTCGGAGCAGTGATGTGCCCCTTACAGCAGGAGTTGGGATAAGCTGTGACTGCAGCCATCCATCACAGGGGACCAACAATGACGCTGGGCCACTGCTTTTCTGACATGCAAGCGCACGGACACACAAAAAAAAAAAACCTCCAGTGAAACAGCCATGTGATCTAGTAGTTGGTACATGACAAATGCACCCACCATTTTCTCGGAGAAAAACAAAAAAAAACTAAAAAAGCACATCACATGCCTGCAAACTGCTATCGCCACTCTCTAGGGATCCCAGAAAATAAATACAAGCCCAGAAGCAAATATTCACCAGGATCCCAGTCATCTGATCCTGGAGAGCAGCGTCAGAGCCTCGGCTTCCATGGAGTCATTACATCAAAATGAGAGACAGGCGACCCATCGACGGGGCAGAGCAATCCGGGGCAGGGGCATCGTTTCCCTGGCAGGACTCAAGGTGCCACGCTTCCATAATGCGGGAGGGCACAGGGTGCCAGAGACAACAGGCCATTCTTAAAGTCGAATTAAAACTATAAAAGGACTCCGCTCAACGGATGTGTAAAAAATATATATTATAATAAATGATTGGGGTAGGGAGGGGGACTTCAAATGAATCCACCATATTTATGAACCTTAAAGGCAACAACAGCCCTGTCTGCTGGGAACTCTGGGACCAGTTTTGGACTGTCAGGAAAACTGTATGCAGAAACTTCCATTTTTTTTCGTCCATTTGCTCTGTGCTCTATGAAGCACCACAGAATGTTAGAACTGGGGACCACAGATTAAATACCCAGGAAAGAGAGTTACAATAAAACCTCGATTAGGAAGTAGTATGTTTATCTAGAAAAACAACCCACAGACATAGTACATGAGACACAATAATCAGCTATAACAATGAATGTAGACCAGGGGTGGCCAGTCTTATCCACAAAGGGTCGGTTTGTACGCAGGTTTTCGGGGTAACCTTTAGGTCAGCCGTTCGAACCCAGGTGTGAGGACTCTTCAAACAATCAGTCCTCTAATTAGTAATCTAATGAGGGAGGTGCAGTGAAAACCCAGATACCCAACGGCCTTTTATGGATAAGATTTCCGCCCCTGATCTGAAACTAGGCTCAGGCACAGACCATTAAAATAGCACTGATCACAAAGGGCTTTTATAAAACCGCTCGCCCACAAACAGACATGTGGACGCGGTTTATTATGGGCACTGGGAGATTGTTGGATGACCATGCATCCATCTTCCATAAGCAATTACCCAGGGTAAGCCTGTCCCAGGAAGCAGAGGGCAAGATGCAGGGGAGCACACCGTATTTCCAATGCCACTCCATCATAGAGCACCAGCGCATCCACACAGGCTCAGTGGGAAACAGGAAACGCTACAGGAGACCCACACAGACTGGGAGAACATGCAAACTCAATACACAGAGGCAGGGTTGGGAATGCGGTATTGCAATGTAAACCACCCAGCTAAAACCACAGCTCCTTCAGACCACCAGCAAGCCTACACTCAGTGGACAGTTCATTACTCTTGCTGGCTTGTTAACGGAGAGCCTCCTCCAAATGGCGGATCGTGTAACTGCGGTGGAGCACATACAGCACACAGACTGAGCTGGGAGGTTCAGCGACTGTTTGGCTAAGCATCAGGACGGCCAAGACGCCCGACCTAAGCGATTTCGGAAGCGGCGGCGGTGCCAGACGCGCTGGTTCCGGCCGGCGCAAAAACAGCCGCGCTCCTGCGATCTTCACGCAGTTTGTGGAGGACGTAAACTCGACGTGTCCGTGTGAAAATACCGTGTTAATGAAAGAGCTAAGACATGGACGACCAGACTCGTGAAAGCTCACAGAAAGACCACAAGTTCAAACTAAGAGCTCAGTACAGCAGTTTGGGAACTCCTTGCTCGCAGGACTGACCAGCCCTGTAAACACTAGCTGCAGGTCTGCCCAATTCAAATGGCACCTTCTAAGGGTTTCAACTAAAATTAGTTCCATTAAAATTCATTTAAGACTAAGTGAGTCTTGCAACTGAGCATTTTGTACAAGTTTTATTCCATCCCCCACAGGTATATGCATATGTACTGTTTTAACGTGCTATAGCGCAATTTCTTTAGACTACAAACCCTGTCATACACTGCATTCATCAAACTTGGTGGAAAAGCACTTTTCTCCTTCATTAATTCAATAATTCTTTAAACCAGTGACCCAGCGATTTTCCATTTGCGAGTGCTTTCCACAGTATTAATGGTTAGATAAACCTAATTTAACATAAAAGGTGAAAAAAAATGTCTGCCTAACAGATTAGAGAGGCTGCACAGAGGACAGGATGTGTGATGCACTGCTGAAAGACCATTACTTATGCATAAAAGATCGAGTCAGTGATCTAACAAAAAGCCAGTGTTGTGACTTTCGTCTTCTAAATTGTGCTATTTTACCGCAGACCATGAACAAATATTCGCCAAGCCACCCAGGCATGTAACCGCTGACATCCTTGATGTCGTTTACCTCCTCGCTTCGACACCAGATGATCTGACTTAAAATCACACGGGAAATAATAGGGTTTAGAAATGATTCATTTAGAAATCAGTGTATATTCTGCAAAACTACACATCCTCAATGCTTAATTTACTGGTCTCATTTGTTTAGAATCAAATCCCTCCAGCTGAGTCAGACGGTACACGGTACATCACCATGCATTCTCCATTAGCAAAATAAAATAAATTAAATGAAAGGACAGTACAACAGCTAGTACTGCTGCCTCAGGAGTGGGGGTTCGAATTCCACCCCCACACTGGGTTTTAATATTTTTTGCCTTTTGCCTGTAATGTATATTTAACCTTACTTTAGCAAACATGTCCAGGATATCAGAGAGAACTTGTGCTGTCACTGGCTGCTGAAACAGTGGTGGAAAACTCCAAATTTGGAGAAAAACGAGTGCAAAACACAGAGTGTGATTCATCCATTCTCTAACAGGACTGGGCGGTATATCGAATTTTTACCGTATATCGATATATTTTTAAAATGAGATATGGGGTAACGGAGTGGCCTTTATAGCAATACACTTTCATTGTGCATTAAAATTAGGATGCTATAAACGATCTTTAATAGAAACCAACAGTGTCCCTTCCTGGCTGAAACAACTCCACAGCTACAATAACTCCACAGCTACAATCGTGACGTTACACAGAATCCCAGAATTCATCGTTACGTCAACATTACGATGGTTGTTAATGGACTGTCAGTGTCTGTGTGTGTGTGTGTGTGTGTGTGTGCGTGTGTTTGTGTGTGTGTGCCATGCAATAGACTGGCTTTGTACCCCTGCTGTCTGGGATAGGCTGTAGGCTCCAGATGGATAAATAAACCATTCTGACAGACATCCTTCACAGGAGAGACAACCTTCACACAGCTGTAGCCAAGACAAAATCCCAAACAGTCAGTCTGCTAAAAAGCTCACTAATATACATTAATGTAACACTTCACAATAACTGATGAACTTTATACAATTAATGGATGCTAAGGGGATCAGAGATTTGTAAAAGCTTCATATATGTACACATCAAGTCGTAGCTGGGTAACCTTTAATAATGATCAACCCCCACCCCCGAAAAGGCGAGCATTCCATTAATCATGGTAAACATACATAAACAGGATGCAGTAACTAGGATTAAACAATGACAGAATGGCTTTCATCTATAAAAATGGCTTTTATCTATGTCTAACACACTTAATTTGATTAATAACACACCACACTGCAATGAGAAAGGTATTCAAAAAATCAAAGGTGATGATGGTAATTTTAAGGCAAAAAGTCTCAATAAACAGAACAGAAGCAGGGTTCCATAAATGCTACTACCAAGAACTGCTGGTTCCATGAAGATCATACGGCAATTTCCTGGGCCCAATATGATACAAAACCACATCACAACCACAAGTATGGATACGACTGTGTTAAATGCTAATATTCTGACACCCTAGACCTGTCGATTTTTCCCATTCATGACTTACACTTTATACTGCTCTGCATATCTGAATGCAGCAAAGCAATAAAGCACTTTTCTGAAGTTTCAAATGTTCTTATTTGAACAACAAGACACGAAACAAGAGTGCTAAAAGTCACCGACTGCAGAAACAAAGGCCAAAAGTTACACAGCTTAAGGAACATAAATGTGTAAAGAGGAACTGGGTTCCCATTAGACAAAAGTTGTGAATATTCAGCTCTTTCCTCCTACAGACCATAAACTCGCCACTTATGATAGCTAATTAAAGTGACGCTAAGTCTAAACGAAGCAAGGCTTCATATTCACTCAGAAACCTACATTCCATGGGTCATTTTCCCCCTTCAGTCGACTTGATATGCTTCAGTTTAATATTGCATAATATTGCATTTGGTTCTACTTATACTTCACTCATATATCGCTTTGTTTGGTTTTAGTTCCTCTGAATTGCTGTTCATGTCAGGAATTGGTGTTAGAGTGAGACCTGCACTTCAGTCACTGCTCTCCTTCCACTGCACTGCCTTATTGATTAAAAAATAAAATAAAAACTTGCCAATCCAAATTAACACCATGTCAGGAATCCATTCAAGCTAAAGAATATCTGCACGGCATGATGTCCCACGCGATTCATGGGCCTACCAGTCAACAAGTTGTTTTAATCACCAAGGAAATGCATACCTCATTATACCAGTGTTTACAAAAGGTCAACAGGCGGTACTGGTTTTAAATTAATATTTATGATATAATGCAATAATAATAATGTTATGCCGTGGATGTCTTTGTGGCAAATACAGGAAGAATACAATTATCACACCCGGGATATAACATTCAATACTTGCCAGCAAACGTAAAACTCTTATAACCAAAAGAATCATTATGATATTGTGACAAAACCAGATTGGCCAGTATGAGGTTCCAGGTTCTCCTATCCTATGCTTGCTGTGCTCATGCCCTCTCAGTTGGTACATGGGGAGATTTAAACTGGATTTAGGTCAGTAAAGAGAGCCAGCTTGTGGGTGATACCAAAGTAAGATTTTACACTCAGCTCATTTAGTTATGCGGTCAGCCAACACTTTAGAACAGTGTAACCATCTTACTGTTGCATGTTACAATCACACCTTCACCGTTTCTCACTGGATCCAACATGATGGTAACACCTTGCATGTCCTCAAACCATTAACGAAAAGGTTAGTGTCGCATAAAGAAATACTAGATATAACGAAATACAAAATCGTTGGGAAATACGTTTTCTTCATAAAGGTGACTTGAGTTCAGCTACACTGATCATTAAAATGTAAATGTCATGAAATCTTGAGAATATGTCCCAGAGAACGTCAGGCACGTTTTCTATGAAAGGACTCTGCCCAAGACTTACCTTACTCCTCATCAATTGCAAGGTAAATCAGGAAGATTCACACTTACCAGTCGACGAGCGAACTCTTTGTTTTCTGACAGGAATCCATAACCCGGATGCACCTTTAAAACAAAACATTTCTTTTACCATGACTTTGTAACACATCTAACCTGCTTGTACAAATGCAACAGCATCTTAGTAAGAGACTAGAATTTGAATTGTTATTACAGTGCAGCAAACAAACAAAAGTTGTTTCACATTATGCCAATGAAAAAAATTCAAAGGGAAAAACATAATACTTTTTCCGGTAAATAACTCAAATAATAAACAGGCCTGTGTTCACTTCTAAGCCATGGATGATTGTTTAGTGTTTCGTTCGAGTCTCTACATGGTGAGTATACTGCTGCTTCTAATCTGAAACTGGTGGATGAATTTTAATGCTGATCTGCCGGTTGCATTTCACCAGGTTATCATGACATCTAGCCTCAACTCAGTCAAGAGTTTGCGTCAGATCATTTGACGCTCTAACAAGAACAAGAAAAAAAAAAAGCTGTATAATCATAACTTACTACAGTAATTAATTACCTCAGCAATTAATTATTCCAAAGGCATTTTATTTTTCGATGCATTAACTGTGTGGATGTCTCATCTTAACTAATTTAAAATTCATCAGGAACATGAAAGCTCAGGACGGCAAAACTTCCAAACCATATTCCGCTATAATCTCAGTTCTCTCTTCTAATTCTCACACACTGAACCGCCCCCTGTGGAGTTTTTGTTTCTTGTTTCTAATGTACGCTTTCCAGAAAGCCCAGCTTTAAGATACACCCTATAATGGAAATAATGCAAATGTAGCCGCATTTACTGTTCCATTAATGCCTAAAACAAATATTTCTCTTAACATGGGGGGTTCTGGACAATGCAATTTTTATTTGTACATTACTGTTGTTATACAGGCAGGCGGCATGTATATGAACTGGGTTCCTGCGTTTTTTTGGCGACAAACACACAGAATGCAGATTTATCTCAGCTACCAGCCCAACGCAGCTATATAATAACGCACCACAAGATCTGACATTCAGCGAAGCGCCGGATTTCTACACTCTGTGGCATTGTTTTCCTTTTTTGTGTCCATATTTGGCTTCTCTTTCTCCCTTCCTCCCTGCCTCCCTCTCTCCCTCGTTCTCTCACTCCCCCCCCCCCCCCCCCACTCCCCTCAGTCTCGTTTTCCTGCAGTGGCTCAAATTTGGGCAGAGGCCAAAGATCCTCCCTGTTGTGAGAGCTGAATCCAGCGGCCACCTGCAGCAGCCGCCACCAGCGCCGCCAGACGCCGGCAGCCCCCTTTGATATCCGCGCTCCCGCAGCCCCGCTCACATTCGCACCCGGGCACCGAGAAAGCGCCTGCTAAAGTGGGATATCAAACAAGGTCTCCGGCTCTTTCTCTCCGTTTTTTGTCTCTTTTTTTCCCTTTTTTTCCAGGGTTTTGCATTTGGGGTATGTTTAAGCCGCTGCAGCAGCCAGACCCGGACCCTTTTCAGACTCACAGCTTGGGCTCCCGTCTGCTTGATGGCTTTCATGATAGCGTCCATGTTGAGGTAGCTTTTGTTGGTGGGAGCGGGGCCGACGCAGACGGCTTCGTCTGCCATCTTCACGTGCACCTATGAACATGAACGCAGAGGAGCCCACATTAAAAACGCAAAGCAATTTCAATTTTAAGCATTTAAAAAAAAAAAAATCATAAAAAAAACAGGAAAGATGCAATACATTATTAATAGTGTATTACTACATTTCAGTTCCCCGCCTTCCGCTTTCAATCCATGCCAATGCCAACAAGCAGACATTTGAGTGCTAATTAACAGCTCTAGGGTTACAGAGTAAGCAGCCTGACAATTATTTATTGTGTAAACAGAGCTTCCTTGAAAATGTTTTGTGTTTGGCGCCTCTTGTTTTGCGAACACACTGCGGCGGTAACACGATTTATAAACCACGACGGGCAACACGCAAACCCCGGTCACTGATGTCGCTCGTACACGCGTACCGAGGCGCCGACATTCGCGGGGGGCTAGAGGCCGGCACCCCAGGAGCACACAGATAATTACACGAATTGACTAAAAGGGATGCGATGAATATCCCTTCACAGCGTCAGATCAAATTAAAGCTGCTTCTTAAGAGTTTCATATGAATTTGCTATGGCAAGAAAACGAAATACATTCAGAAGAGCACTCCAGATCACGTATTTAAAGAGATTTCATTATTATTATTATTAATATTATTAATAATATCCTGGTTGTAATACGCTTTCTTTTAAATCTTTAGATACACAAACATAAAAGCTTTTTACAAAACCATATTTGTAGCCAGTCCAGCATGCTGTCACAGAGCTAAAGAGCAATTCAAGGCTTGTTATTTTATGACAACTGCCAGACCAGACCTTAAACTATTCCTAATAAGAGTGAGAGTATAAAGACAAGGCTGATAATAGGTCCCAACCTTGCTTTGTACACGCACACACACAGACACACACACACCTGAAGAGCATGTGGTGACAGAACTTCAGCTAATTATGTGACAGACAATTACACTCTGGGGAGACATTCCTGGGAATTACTATCAACAACTGGATCAACACTACGGTGAATGAGAGGTGTTTATGGGCCAGTTGTTCACCACTTTTCTTTTTAGAGAGGTGCCAAAACAAGTCACTGCCTCCAGTTTTTACACTTTTGAGGGAACAGGGAAAATGCCCAGCTGAAAGTTATACAGTGTAAATACTGCAGAGTAAATACTTCGGTTATTTCTAAGAATGGCAGTTAAAATCCAAACAGTTATTCAATAAGAGTCACAGCTCAATTTCACCAAGTCAAAAAACCTTCACCAGTCATAGTAAAACAACGTAACTAAGTCAACAAATAGGAAAAGCACCAGGTTTGATTTCCCTTTTCAGAAATTAACCATGTACACACATTGCTGCAGTACTAATGTATTTAAATGTACTATAATGTCTCTATTTCATTTTGCTTCAGATAATTAACCACAAACGTGAAGAAAATGATGTCAGGAATTCATGTTTGATTATTCAGACCTTTGGGGTTGCTTCACGTTACAGGGGAGAATGTAACTCGCATCAAGCAAATTGCATGATTAATTTTTCAAGTGGTTAATATTTTCTGAACCGTAAAAGAACACAAGGAACTTTCAAACAGCTGTCAGCCATGACCCTTCAATATCGTATTCTTCTAAACAACGAAGAGCTGCCTAAACTTTATTATGACACACAAAACCAAGCAAGTCATCTATTTCTTCTGTGCCATCATTTCACTTTTTTGATTATATTTATCAACAGGAGAGGCATAATTTATACCTAAAACCTATGCTTTTATGTACAACCAGATTTTCCCCATTTGGGATCAATAAAGTGTGTTTTTCTTTCTAGATGAATTTAATATCCCTCCCTGAAAGGCAGAACAAATACCAGAATCCTCACAATTTTTTAAACACTACCCTCGAAAAGTGGAAAAAGGCTACAGAATGTCTAAATAAAGTACTCAAGTAGTAGTATTACAAAAAGGTAACAATCTGGTATAAAAGTAAATCTTGTACAGAAACTGAAACTTCGTGAAATCGAATACATTTAGAGTCAACAAACAGAGAGTGCCAGCAGAGAGAAAACTTGTACGAAAAATCAAATTTGGTCAGAGACACCAAGTGGCAAAGAGCAAACAAATGTTTTATTATGTCACAGATAATCCTGTCTTTAGAGTATTTCAATAGGAGCACCAGGGAACCCAATATGTTGCATGTTATATCACAGTGAAGAATGAGTAAAGACACCTATCAATGTACCCAAGCAACAACGTGAATCTTCTTTTGACACACGAGATTCTGTAACATGATTCAGCTGCTATTTGACAGCTACATTTCACTTTACAAGAGAATAAGATAGAGATACAGTGTAAATACCAAGGTCCTTGGACAAGCAATACTGGTGGGGTGAGAGTAGTATGTTTATCGGTAATTAGATATGAAGTAGAGACAGACCTACCAAAGGTCTTCTCAACTTTCAGCCTTAATTTGTCAGTGTTTTTCAAGATCTCCTTTCGAAAACTATTAGCAGACGCTCATAAAAGCTACGGCATTTAACCCGCATAAATGCACTTCTCAAATTCAATGATTTCCAAACCAAAAAATGCGCAAATAAACAAATCCATAGTGATCCATTTGGTCTATCTGCTACTTTCATACCTATAAATATTCAGTGTTTCTCCAATGTACAGAGCACAATAACCGTGCAGGCACGTATTCTTCTTGAACATTCACATGAAAACTATTACTGTTTCTCACTTTGCATTGAGTGAAGCTTCATAATCTTCTCAAAGGCAAATCTTGTATTTACACAGTAACATTTTACTAGGCATGACAATCTAAAGAAGCAAGAGACTTGGAAAGCACCATTTTTATTTGCACATATTTTACAAAGAATACATTTTACTGAACCACAATTCCACCAGGCTTTCATGCTGAACTGATATGATCCCTATTCAATGTAAATTTGCATGGTTTTCAATTACATTAAGTATAGTGATAAATTAACTATTACCGACATCGCATAAATCCATTTGGTTCTGACTGTTTATCAGGCCGGTTGATAAAATGTAGCATGCAGTTGTGAACAGAAAAGGAACTGTATTCGTTTACAACTCGAGCTAAGCTGTTAGACAAATGTTGTGATTGCTTAAATGTGCCAGATTTCCATTTTATTGCAATGTTTGGCTAGATCTTTCGGGATACCAATAAAAACATCCTGCTATTTCCAAGAGATAAAATTAAGAGGTTTTAGCACAAAGGTTATACTGCAATGGTTGATACCAACTCCACCATGAGCTGTCGTTGGCAAGCAGAAGCTCTGCATGCAAAGCTGCGGTACAGTCCTTTCCCCCGGAGATGCACGAGCACAGCATGTTAACCTGTCAGGGCGTTTTTTAAGGACTGATTGCTAAGCCCCCTGTAGTTTGAGGTAAACTGACAATTTTCCATCAGCAGGGAATGAGGCTTTATTAGTGATGGGGGTGGGAGAGAGCAGTAAATACTTAAAGCAAGTCCACCACCCCATATTAAACCTTACGCATCTCCTCCACTTGATTAAAATTTCAGATCAATGAATTCTACCCAAGACGGGGCAAATAATAACAACAACAATAAACTGCATCAGTGCACTAGTGGAAATACTATGAAACAGACTTCATGATGAACCACTAGCTAAGCCAATAGCCTCAAAAATTTAGTATTAAAAAGAATTAATGGCAAAAGCTACGCAACACACATATACATGCAGCTACTAAAAATAAGTATGGGACCCTAATAAGAGATGCTGTAAGCAGAGACAGAGTCTGAGGGCAGTTATAAAAGCAGCATGGGACCCATTTAATCCAACCCTTGATTAACTCATCGCCTGTCCACTAGTCCTAAAGACATGTGCTAACATGTCATAATCGTCATAATGCTCATCAACCCCTGCGCTAGCTCGCCAGCTCCTTGATTAGGACTAAATTCCCAGAAGGTGCATGGTTAATGCTTAATAATTCCCCTTAGCCTCACACCACCGTACCACGGGCCCATGAATTAAATACAGAATCTCTAAAGAACGAAATGCGTGTGGACAAATCCTTCGTAGGTTTTGTACTCATCCTGACAAAATTCCACCCATGAGAATCTGACCCGGTCTGCTTTACCACCTGCCACCTTCTACAATGACCACCGACCGTTCTTGGGGGGGGGGGGGGGGACGCAACCTTAATTACTATTTCTCACCAAAGAAATATTTCATTTGGTAATGTAGGTGACCAGGGCAGAACAAAATCCAACACAACACAACTGTAACCTGCTAAGCAACAGCAGACTTTAAATACGCCCCCAAATATTTCATCGTATTTAAGGTTATGACAATATCACGCATGGATATTAAATCCTCTTACTTATAATAAAGTAGGAGGATGGGGAATTGTAGGAGACTGTCAACAACATCTCACATTTGTCTGTCAAATGCTGGAGGAATAGGACCTTCAAGACACTGGG